CTGTTTCAACTCTGTAAAGATGATCAAGACTGAATATAATCCATGGGGATGGGGTCTGTCAGTGAGGGGGTGGGGAGCCCTCCCTGTGGCCACACAGTGTGAGTTCCGAGAGCTCCCCCGTGTGGGACAGGGAGGGAGCTGCCAGGTGTGAGGCTTGGGTGCCTGTCCTTTTCACCAGAACCTCTTGGCTCCAGCCCCTTCCCTCCCCCGTCAAGTCCTGGGCTCGGACTGCTGCCTGGGCACAGGGAGAAGTGGACACAGACTGCCCAGAGCCAGAGCCAGGCTTTGTAGAGCAGTGGCTGAGGCTGGAAGTTTCGGTGAATGAACAAGCCGTTGTGGGGGGATGGGGCCCAGCTGGAAGGAAGACAAAGCTTTATCTGAGTTGGATTCCCAGGGGACATGGGCACATGAGAGGCCCTGCCACAGCCCCTCTGCCCACCTCCCCTGCAGAGTTTGTGAACATGCGGGAGCCCTCGATGGACATGAAGTCGGTGACGGACAGGGCAGCTCAGACCCTGCTGTGGACTGAGCTCATCCGAGGTGGGCCCTGGGGGAAGGGGTCGGGCAGGCTTGGGGGTGGGCACGGATTGTTAGGGAGGAGTGGCCCCCACCCACCATGCTCATGCTGCCCACAGGCCTGGGCATGACCCTGAGCTACCTGTTCCGGGAGCCTGCCACCATCAACTACCCATTCGAGAAGGGCCCTCTGAGCCCTCGCTTTCGGGGGGAGCATGCTCTGCGCCGCTATCCATCAGGGGAGGAGCGCTGCATCGCCTGTAAGCTCTGTGAAGCTGTCTGCCCTGCCCAGGTGAGCCCCTGACCCCTGCTGACCGCCACCCTGGCCCTTGCCACTTGAGAGGGAGGCTGCAGCCTGCTGCAGAGAGAGGGAAGCGGGGCAGCCTTGGACCCAAGCTCTGGTCCCCCATTGGGTGTGTGTCCCAGGAAGGCCCCTTTCCCTCTCTGAGCCTTGTCAAGCCAATTCAGAGGGAGTGAGTCATCAGAGCAAGGCTTGCAGCCCTGAGCAGGCCATATGACACCTGTGTGTCCTGCCCTTGGGGATCTGGTCAGGGATGTGAAACCTAGGCTTGTGAGCCACCGGGTGGCATTGGAGGTCCCCACTTTTACCCTGAATGCAGCAGCAGTTTTGGGATTTCTGCATGTATGCGTGTAACCAGCTGCAAGGAACACAGTTGAGGACCTCACTGCCCCTGGTTGCTGCTCCTCTGGGCCCCCAGCATTAGTTCTGTTGGAGGACCCCCACGGACCCCCCCCCAGAGTTGGGGCCTGTTAGTATAGAGACAGATCCAGTTGTAGTGTCTGGATGGCACAGGTGGCGCAATTGGTTGAGTGTCCGACTTGGTTTCAACTCAGGTCGTGGTCTCAGGGTCATGAAATCGAGCCCTGCATCAGCACTCAACACAGTCTGCTTGGATCTCTCCCTGCCTTTGTGCATGCGCACACTCATTCTCAAATAAATCATGAAAAAAGGAAGGAAAAGAAAGATCCAGTTAAGGCTCTTGGGCAGGCCCATGGACATCCCCAGCAGGAACCCCAGCTGACACTATGGTCACCCGTCATCCACACAGTGACTGCCCCCTCCCCGCGGCCGCTCCAGGCCATGGGCTGTGGCCTAGATGTCTCTGATCCTGGAGCACATAGAGAAGCCCCCAAATAGCCCTAGCAGTAATGGCCTCCGGGCAGTGAGCACCGTGGAGGGAACAGGCGCTATTCCAGCTCGTGACTTATTTTTACAGCAACCCTAGGACATAGAGGTTATTACCCCTTTTTATAGACGAGGAAACTGGGGCACAAAGAAGCCTACCAGCCTAAGGTCCCACTGAACGGTGGTATTACACTCCTGGGGACACAGGAGGGCTTTTGGCATACCCCTTTGAACATCCTTCTGGCTGTGGGAGGCTCTGGGCCTTCTTGGTGCTGGCACAGACCGTACCCAAAAACTGAGGGTGAGGGAGCTACCTTCAAGTCTGAGCTTTGCGTGGCTTTCGGAAGCCCCTCAACATCTCTGAGTCTCTATTTTCTCATCCATGAAAGCGGGATAACTAGACATAAATGGGAAGGTTGTTGAACGTATCACCACCAGCAGTTGAGCAAGTACTGAGACCCCCCCTGGGGCTACGGGTGCTGCAGTGAACACAGCAGGCTACAGTCTTCCCCTCGGATGACTTAGCCTCTCAGGCAGGAGATGCCATGAGTTGACAAAAGTGTCATCTCGGGCAGTGGGACAGGGACCGTTTTGCAAAGGTGTTGGGAGGAACTCATCAGGCTGAGGGTGGGTGGCAGGGTCTGCTCCACGGCCCTGGAGCGAGCTCCCAGGAAGGGGCAGGAGCCAGCAGTAAGGGGCTCCTGGTGTCCCTCCCCAAGGCCATCACCATCGAGGCTGAGCCGCGGGCTGATGGCAGCCGCCGGACCACCCGCTACGACATCGACATGACGAAGTGCATCTACTGCGGCTTCTGCCAAGAGGCTTGCCCTGTGGACGCCATCGTCGAGGTGAGCGGGCCTGGGGTTGGGGAGGGGCTGGGGCAGGGGCCCAGCAGAGGGGCCTGATGCCACCGCACCCACACCCGCACCCGCCCACAGGGCCCCAACTTCGAGTTCTCCACCGAGACGCACGAGGAGCTGCTGTACAACAAGGAGAAGCTGCTCAGCAACGGGGACAAGTGGGAGGCCGAGATTGCCGCCAACATCCAGGCGGACTACCTGTACCGCTGATGCCCCTGCCACCCAATAAAGAGCTCTGCCTCCCGCGCCGTCTCTGTGGTCAATCCAGCTGTCTGGGCTGGGACTGTGCGCCTGGCTGCAGCCTGCGGGGTCCTCCCCTGGGCGGGGCCTTCCTGTGGGACTCTGCGGGACCTGTCAGCGCCCCCTTCCCCTCCCATCCCCTGCCACACATCTTCCTTGGCATAGCCCCCAAGGCTTAACCTCAGGTCTGCTGTTCCCATAATCCTGGCTGTCCAGAGCGTAGGGCCTGGGCCTGTCCTGTCCTGAGGGCCACACACAGCTACAACCCTAAGGATGTAGGGTCTGCCAAGGTCTCAGGCAGAAGTACATTGAGTGGCAGAAATTCAGGAAGGCCAGGGCATCCTTGGGGGCAGGGAGAAGCCTACTCTGAGGGGAACAGTCACAAGGAGGTGACACAGGCCCTCCTGCTCCTGAGCTGGCCTTGCCTCATCTCCAGCCACATCCCCTTTCCTCCCCAAGTTCCCCAGACCAGGCTGCTAGCTTGGCTTCTGCTGCTCAGAACTTCCTGCTTCGCAATCCCAGCAGTGGTGTGGTTCCCTGTGCGGCCGGGTGCCAGCTCAGTGCAAACGGAGCCTCCAGAACCAGAATGGGCTGAGTGCTGGGCACTGTGGAACGGCTTCAGCATATTCCCAGCTGTAAGCAAAGCAGCTCAGAGAAGTGAAGGGACCTGCTCAGGATCACACAGCATGTGTCTGATGAAAACACTAGCTTAGGTCAGAGATCTGAGCGCTACCCTCCCCCCCCATTTCCAGAAGTACTCTTTACGAAACACTAACTTTCCATGGTGCTTCATAGAAGAGAGAGGAAGGTGTTCCGTGGACCAGTGTGGGAAATGCCCCAAGTGCCCTCTTTCCCCTGGGATAGGCACTGCATGTGAGCACAATCAAGACTCTGAGAAGGCTGGTACAAAGAACCCTAACCTTTCCCCAGCTCCTTCCCTTTTTTCATGACTGCTGACACCTAGGCCATCTCCTGATGCTGAAGTAGTCCAGGAACTGCTTGGGCCCCACAGCATAAGGAACGAAGTGCAGAGGTGAGAAGGGAGTGAAGGCCCTGAAGGGAAGACCAGAACCTGGGTAGTGTCTGTACCAAGCCCCTTGCAGGCCCTGGCAGCTGTGGGAGGCAGGAGCCCTGCAGTAATGAGACAGGCTTGAGAATCCCGTGTCACCTCTGATTTGCCAGCTAGAAGGAGCCAGCTCCATTGTCATGGAGCCTCTATTTGTACACAGATAAATAGAACACATTTATTAAAAATGGGTCAGCTTATCCAGCTCCTGACTTGATTCTTTCCCTGACTTGTCAGAATCTTTTGTGTGTTTCAGGAGCCCGCTTCTAATGCCATTGTGGTTGTGGGGTTCTGGTTCCCCTGCACCAAGGAAGTGTTGACCTGAGGCCTCCACTGGGGCTCAGTTTCGTTGTGTTGAGGGCCTCCCCACCTGAAACGGACTTATGATGCCCTAGAAGTGGGTCCCCCCCTTTTCTGAACATGTTAACCTTGGCTGTGACTTTCCACCCCCAGCTCTGGGGCTCCATTTGCCCACAGCTCCCTCCCCCTCGATGACCTAGCCATGTGGGGTTCAAGGATCACCAGAGGTGGGAGGCCCCTTGTCCCTGGAGGGTATGGGCCTGGCCCGTCCAAAGTGCAGGCAGCTGGACATTCAGGAGCTTCAGGTCAGGGGTGTTGGGACATGACCAACCATGGGGAGCTAACTAGAAGCAAAGTCACTGGAACTCCCCCAGCCGCAGGTGGAGCGACAACTACCCTCAGGTGGAGGGACAATTACCCATGGGTGCCCAGTCCTTGGAGTGCCATTGAGGAAAAAGGCTCAGATATGGGCAGCACCCACCCAAGGGCTCCAGCACTGGGCCTGGAGCCTAGGCCCTATCCTGTGTATAAAAAGGGGGGAATGCGCCCAGAGATAGGGGGCGTGCTGGGGACCCCAAACCTCTGTTTTGGGGTCCCATCAGGGGTAGGCCCCAGGAGCCTTCTAGGTGGGGGGGACCGCCCTGGACGCCTCCCCGCACCGGCATCCCGGCCACGTCGGCAGCGTCCCCGCTCGGTCCCCCCGCTCCCGGCCGCGCGCCCCCAGCGGCCCCCCAGCCTCCGAAGACGAAGCCCTGCCTCCCTGGCGGCCGCTCGCGGGACTCCGGGTGCCACCCCTACCACTTCCCCGGCCCGGCCCGGACGGGACGGGGCGGGGCTTCCGTGGTCCCGCCCCCTGCGGTCCCGCCCGCCGGGGAAAGTGAGTTGCGTGGGCGCCGGGGCGGGGAGCGCAGAGCCGGGAGCGCGGAGCCGAGCGGCGCCGAGTGCGGCTGACCCGGGTGAGTGCCAGCGGGGTCTGCGGGCCCCGCGCCCCGTCTGCCGCCCTCTCTTCGCCCTGCCCCGGGAAGCGGGTCCTGGAACCCCCACCCGGCCCGGCTGGGTCGGTGGCTGCGGCTCAGTCCGCCCGCCCACCGGGTGTCGGGCCGTGGCGGGGGCCACAGCGGCGACGGGGAGGAGGAGGAGGAGGGATGAAGGGAAGAGGAAGAGGAGGATGGGGAGTTACCAGCCGCTAACCACTGAGACTAACTCTGCCGGGCCTGATGGCACTCTGGTGGCGCTCAGGGCTTTCTCTGTGGCATCTTCCCGGGAGGGAGGGACCCATTCTACAGATGAGGAAATTGAGGCCCACCCAACTAGAAAGAGGCAGAGCTAGAGGAAAGTGGGGTCACTCCAACTCCAGAGCCTACCAGTCTGGATATTAGGTAGGCTCCAGGCGAGGTCCTCCAGGTCAGCTCTCATCATCGTGGGTCAAGGGCTTGGGGGAGGGATCTAGTGGGTTCCTGAAGTGGGTGGCCTGAGCTTCAGCCCCTTAGGGAGCAGGAGGAGGGGGCATAGCGTGAGGAGGGGGCTGCAGTCTGGACCCCGAAGCCACAGGACTGAGGAACCTTCATTTGCTGCATTAAAAGGAGTAGGGTGGCCTTGGCTTGGGTAGGGGCCAGGGAGGAGAGGAGGTAAGGGCTGAGCCAGTGGAGTCCTCAGATGTTGGGGAGGGGTCTGACCAGGGCCCTACACACCCTGCCCACCCCATGAGGGAATCGCCCAGGCCCACGCCCTGTGAGTGAGGGATACCCAGCTGGATACGCCACAGCCTAGGGCTGCTGCACTCCCTGAGCCCCCAGACCTGGTTCCCTGCAGCCCCCCATCTGTCCAACCCAGGCTTTCAGGGTGCCCTTGGGCAGAGAACAGCCCTCCCTAGAGCCGTGGGACTAACAGACCTGCAGCTCCAGGGTCTGGCTCCTGCCTGACTTGGCCACCTGATCCCAGACCTCACCTCCTCAAGCGCGCTGACCTGTGGGTAGACCAGGGCTCAGGGGCCTCTTCCCCAGGATTGCTGTTAGGTTTCAATGAGGTAGTATGGGTGAGGGGATTTCATGGAGGCTCACTTTATTTCACCCCCCCCCCCAGGTCCTGTCTCTCCTGGGGCAGGGTGGCCAAGTCCCATTTACCTAAAGAGGAAGTGGAGCCCTAGAGAAGGTGAGAGACTCCCCCAAGGACACACAGCCAGTCACGGCTTGGGCGGAGCTCAGGCCTCTGGGGTGGAACCTAGCCACTCCTACCCCCTTTCCCTGTCCAGGGCCGGGTGCTTCTGCAGCCTCAAGCTGCCTCTCAGCCTTCTCTCCTCCTCCAGGCTGGGGCCAGGGCTGCACTTCCTATTTGGATTGAAGGAAATCAGGCCCAGGGGAGGAAGTGACCAGCTGGGCAGGCCCCTAGCGGCCCAGACAGCGGGTGGGGCACTTTGGCGCCAAATGTTCACCCTGTCAGCTTGCGACCTCACCATGCCTGTCCCCTTCCCTGACAATTTGAGAGCTAAGGAAACTGAGTCCACAGAGGGGAAGTGGCTGGCCTGGGGCCCGGAGAGCAGTGGCCATGGAGTCCCAGCTCGTGGCTGGGTCATCTGCGGGGCCTTCCCCGGGCGCTAGGCAGGGCCCCACCAGGCTGTCCCGCCTGTGTCAGCTTCCACAGTTTCACTTTCGTGGGTTTCGACACCTGGAAGGCTGTTTCTGTCCTTTTCTGGACAGAGGCCACCAGGCAGTCCAGGCCTCAGGGGAAGGCTCCCCTCCCGGGCCTCTCTGCCCACAGTGAGGGCACCAGGGGACCCGGTGGAGGCTCCCTCCGCTCAGTGCTCACAGATACCCCAGGGAAGGAGGAGGCTCCAGCCCAGCCCTGGCTGCTGTCACAGACAAATGCTCCTTGACGTGGACAGACAAGGACTCGCAGCCCACCGAGGGCTGTGGCAGTCAGGAGGCTGGCCGCTGGAAGTGACCCTTGGCCTGGGGCCCCAAGGATGAGTGGGATCTAGGGGTGAGGGCAGGTCACAGAGGGACAGATGGCGCAGAGGTCAAGGGTGAGAAGAGCCAGAGCCACCAGGCTCGAGGCTGGTGTCTGGGACAGGGCAGAGTCAGCTGGGAAAAAGCTTGAGGAGGGCTGTGGGCTGGGCCGTGAGGTCGGCCAGGGTGGGCTCCACTCCCAAGTATACCGCGTACTTCCGGTGTGACCTCAGCGCCCCTTCAAGTCTTCTCGGGCCTCAGTTTGCCCACCTGTCAGATGGGGTTGGCAGCAGGACCTACCTTCCGTGGCTCATGTGAGCCGAGGTGGACAGAATTCCTACCCGATGGGAAACTGCGTGGCCCACCTCGACTGAACCTTCACCCCCGGCTGGGCCCGCAGGACCATGGGCTCCATGTTCCGGAGTGAGGAGGTGGCACTGGTCCAGCTCTTCCTGCCCACCTCTGCCGCCTACACCTGCGTGAGCCAGCTTGGCGAGCTGGGCCTCGTGGAGTTCAGAGACGTGAGTGGGACCGACGGGTTCGGGAGGGGGCCTTCTGCATCCTTGATGGTATGCCGCCTGCCCACAAGATGCCCTTGGCCGTGCTCGAGTCCTGGCGGCCTCTGCCATAGATACTCTGCTCTCGGAGAGGGCCAGCCTGACAGCCGAGGCCACCTTGCCTCTGGGGCCCTGTCACACCCTCCCCAGAGCACAAAAAGCCTGCTCTGTCTCCAGCTGGGCATCAGGAGGCTCATGGTGTGTTCAGCACCGTCCTAGGGGGAGGCAGCTATGGCCCGCAGGGAGCCAAGCCTGGGTGCCAGGGTGGGACCGCCCTGGCTCCCTTCTCAGAAATCTGACCCCTCTGTGCGGCAACCACAGCTCAATGCCTCGGTGAGCGCCTTCCAGAGACGCTTTGTGGGGGATGTTCGGCGCTGTGAAGAGCTGGAGAAAACCTTCAGTGAGTTGGCCTCAGCCCACATCCCAGGCAGGCTTCCTGAAGGAGGTGCCAGTCAAGCTTGGCCTGAAAGGAAAAGTCCTGGTCCCCCAGATGGAAGTCAGTGAAGGGAAGTCCAAGCCATGCCTTGCAGAGCCAGGACAGGGCCGCTGGGGTCTGTGGAGTGCTCTTGAGAATGGGGCTCACTTGGAAGAGGCCTCAAATACTGTATGAGGGCCTGGGAATTCATCCAGTAGATACTGGGAGCTGCTGTGGTTTGTTTCTAAGCAAGGGTGAGGCATGGACTGAGCTTTCTGTGCTACAGATGGACTAGGTGGGCAGAGGCCAGGATCCAGGGTCAGGTGCCCCGAGGAGCAGATTCTTCAACCCAGGGACCCTCACCCTGGACTCTGTGACAGCCCCTCCTAGGAGGAGCCCATGAGAGGGGGGAGCAGCACATTCGTTTAATGGTTTGTTAGTTTAACTGATGCCTTTTAGGTCATCAGGCAGGTGGTACGTGGGGCTCCCGGCATGCTCCCGTCCCAGGCCCTTGCATGCTAGGCCCACCCTGCCTGGCACAGCCCTGTGGGACCCAGGCCCACACAAAGGAGAGAAGCCCACACGAGCTCAGGAGGAGGAGGTTGGACCTTTCGGGGTAGAGATTTGGCCTGGGGTTTTTCTGGGAGTCTGGGACTTAGTGAATCAACTAGCTGGTGGCCAGTTGAGTTTGGGGTGGCATTTGGGACCCCTGCTAGTCATCAGGCAGCCCTTGGCTACCAGTGGCCGTTAGCTGGCGCTGGCCCCCAAAGAGCCTCTCCTGACGCCCATCCCTCTGCACCCAGTGTTCCTGCAGGAGGAGGTGCGGCGGGCTGGGCTGGTGCTGCCTCCACCAGAGGGGAGGCTGCTGGCACCCCCGCCCCGTGACCTGCTTCGCATCCAGGAGGAGACAGATCGCCTGGCACAGGAGCTCCGGGATGTGCGGGGCAACCAGCAGTCCCTGCGGGCCCAGCTCCATCAGCTGCAGCTGCACTCTGCTGTGCTGGGCCAGGGCCACAGCCTCCCGGTCAGCTCCAGCTCTGGGTGGGGGTGGGGGGCTGGGGGAGAGGGTACCAGCCCCCGCTGGGCACGGGGCTCACGGTGGTGCCTCCTGGCTCCCAGCTGGCAGCCACCCATGCTGATGGGCTCTTGGAGAGAAGCCCCCTGCTCCAGCCCCCTGGGGGGCCACACCAGGACCTGAGGGTCAAGTAAGTAAGGGGCGCTTCAGGTTCTTTCCTGTCAGCTGGAGGCCCTGACTGACTCCTTGTCCAGTGCTCTCCTCCTCCACCTGCAGATCACCTCCGGCCTCCTCCCTCAGGCCCACAATTTCCCTTGCTCGTGGGGCCTTCTCCTTTCCCGGCCCTGCCTGCTGGGCCCAGCCTCCTGCGGGGGAGCAGGCCTGTGTGCCAGGCTGACCGTCCTGACTGGGGTGGCCTGGCCAGGGGAAGGGTGGGGCTGGGGGATGGCGGGAGCACCCCTGCCCAGTCCAGCCCCTCGGCAGCTTCGTGGCAGGAGCCGTGGAGCCCCCCAAGGCCGCTGCCCTGGAACGCCTGCTCTGGAGGGCCTGCCGCGGCTTCCTCATCGCCAGCTTCAGGGAGACGGAGCAGCAGCTGGAGGACCCGGTGACGGTGAGGGCTGGGGAGCCCAGCCTGGGGGCATCCCGGGCGGGGTGGGACCCTAGGTAAAGAAGCCCATTCCCGCAGGGCGAGCCCGCGACCTGGATGACCTTCCTTATCTCCTACTGGGGTGAGCGGATAGGACAGAAGATCCACAAGATCACTGACTGGTGAGCCCCACGGGGGGCCGACCCTGCACCACCCTTGTGCCCAGGCCCCTGGCCGCCAGCAGAGCCCCCCGGGCGCCCCCTCACGCCGCCCCCTCCCTGCCAGCTTCCACTGCCACGTCTTCCCATTCGTGGAGCAGGAGGAGGGCCGCCTCACAACCCTGCAGCAGCTGCGACAGCAGAGCCAGGAGCTGCAGGAGGTGGGCACCCTGGGGCTTGGGCGGGCTGGACATCCCGCTGCCCCCCCCCCCACTTTCCTCACCACCTGCTCTGGCCGCAGGTCCTGGGGGAGACTGAGCGCTTCCTGACCCAGGTGCTGGGCCGGGTGCAGCGGCTGCTGCCACCCTGGCAAGTGCAGATCCGCAAGATGAAGGCCGTGTACCTGGCTCTCAACCAGTGCAGCGTGAGTGCCACGCACAAGTGCCTCATTGCTGAGGGCTGGTGCGCCACGCGCGACCTGCCCACGCTACAGCAGGTGCTGCAGGACAGCTCGGTGAGTGGGGCGCGGGGGGCTCCCACCCTCCCCTTCCACCCAGTGGGTGCCGGCTCTCCCTGAGGGTCCAGGCCCAGCAAGCCTTCCTCCTCCTGGCATCCCAAAAGCACCCTGGAGGCTGGCCCAATGGGCACTGGCTCCGAGATCTTGGGCCACTGCAGGGAGCCTCAGGCTACTCATGTATGAAATGGGTGTAATGAGCCTGCAGGGGCCATTGTAGTGTGAACACACCATAGGCTGCTGGGACCCAGTAGGTGCTCACATGTGGCAGTGGGGCACCCTCTCCTGGGCCACACTTCTCTTTCCCAAGCACTTTCTGGTCCAGCTGATCTCGGACTCTCCCTAAATCACCGTGGGTGGGGGGGCAGGTGGTCCTATTTCAGAGAGGGGAGGGGCTACCCCAGATGTCCGGGCACCTGCCCAGTGAGCCCCACCTCTCCCACTGGGTTTGGCTGGGGGTGTCAAAGGGTCCCTGAAAGCCCCCCCATCAGCCTCATCTTTTTGTCCATTGGGTGCTGCAGAGTGAGGCGGGCGTGAGCGCTGTGGTTCACCGCATCCCCTGCCGGGACATGCCCCCCACGCTTATCCGCACCAACCGCTTTACTGCCAGCTTCCAGGGCATCGTGGACGCCTACGGTGTGGGCCGCTACCAGGAGGTCAATCCTGGTGAGATCTGTGGAGCCCCCAGCCCGGGAGGGTGGCATCTCCATACCTGGCCTGTCCTGCCCTCGTGAGCCCACTCCCGTCATGCTGGAGGGCAGGGGAAGCAACGTGGAGGATTTGTATTTACTTCCAGCAACACCCCCCACAACCAGCAGTTAGGCTTACAAGGGATCCAGCATGAGGCTGTGTGCAAAGAACAGGCTTTGCAGTAGGAATGGCTTGGGTTTGAGGCCTGACTCATTTACCTTGATTCATTTCTTCATTTCTGAGCCTCGGTTTCCACATCTATAAAACGGGAATCATAGTTCGGGCCTCAGAGCAGTGCTGGGAGGGTTGAGAGATTGCACATCCGATGTCCACGGGACCAAAGTCAGCCTGCTGAGGCTCCTCATTAGGCCTCACTGTGTAAGAAGTTTGAATCGGGTGCCGTCGGGTTCTCCCAGAAGCAGAGCCTGAGTTGGGGACTCTGGCGCAAGTGGCCAATTAAGAGAGGTGCTCCTGGGAGAAACCAGCCAGGGCTGATGGCAGGGGATGAGGCAGTAGGCAGGGAGGGGTGGGGAGCTGGGGGCAGGCCAGGGGCTGGTGGTACTCTGGTCTCTCATCTGCCTGGTTCTCCTCCCTCCAGATATGGCTCTCCCCGCAGCATGCTGGCTGCAGTGTTGCCAGTGGCTCAGTGCCCCTGTGTCACTGGGTGGGGACCACAGTGGGTCTCTGAGCCCAAAGAATGGGTATGGGAAGTGAACTATGGTGGGGCCCATAGTTTTTTGCCCCGAAAGGTTTTATTTGACAGAGTGAATGAGAGAGAGACAGAGAATGAGCGGGAGGAGGGAGAGGGAGAAACAGACTCCCCACTAAGCAGGGAGCCCAATGTGGGGGTCCATTCCAGGACCCTGGGATCACGACCTGAGCCGGAGGTAGCTGCTTAGCTGACTGAGCCATCTTGGAGAGGACTTAGTCATAGGCCAGGGAAGGGTTCTGCCTCACCCAGGCGGCTGGAGGCAGGGTGCCTGGCCCCCCAAGGTGGTACAGGAAGGGTGCGATGACCAGGGTCACATGCAGTCCTTTGGGGCCTGCCATTCCCAGGGTCAGCATCCTAGAGCTGGACCTGGGGCCCCATCCCGTTTTCCCTGCTTGTAGCCTCTGTGTTAGCAGGTGCCCGTCCAGTTAGAAGTAGCCTGATCACCAGATAGCCACGGCTGCTAATATGCTAGCAGCTCTCGGAGCATTAGCTCTGGGGAGGTGGGCATTGGCTCAGGCTGCTGGGATGGAGCACCACAGCTGTTTGTCTCCCGGTGTGGAGGCTGGAAGTCTGTGATCATGGCGTCAGCAGGGCTGCTTCCTTCCAAAGGAGGCTGCTCCAGGCGGGCCTCCATTCTGGGCTCGGAGACAGCCAGCTTCATGTTTAAGCAGTGTCCTCCCAATGAATGTGTCTGGTGACCTCATTTTCACTTGATGGCATCTGTAAAGATCCTGCCTCCACATCTGGGTCACTGAGGTCCTGAGGGCTAGGACTCCAGCACATCCTTTTTGGGGCATGGGGACCACAGCTTAGCTTGTTAACAGACATGCACTGAAGGGAATTGTCCCATTTTACTGAAGGGAAAGTGCGACCTCAGAGCTTAGGTGACCAACTCAGCCTTCTGGAACTAGCCATGTGCCAGTCAGGGCTGCCACAGGGTTCTCTGCCCAGGCTCTCTGCCTCTCTGAGCTTCTGTGTATTGCTCTTTTAATAACAGCAACAGGAACTGGGTTACACTGAGTGCTGCAGCCTGCCAAGTACTGGCCCTGGGTGAACTCGTTGACAGTAGCTCTACCGAGTCCTAGTACTGCTATCTCCCAATTTACAGACGGGGAAACAGAAGTTCAGAGAGGTTAAGTCACTAGCCCGTGGTCACACAGCCAGGAGGGGGCAGGCTCTGGAATGCAGACACACAGTCTGGCCTCCCTGCCTCGCCAACACCCCCTCCGAGTCTCCCGGGGTCCCAGCGCCTGGGCTCGGGGCCTCTGTGGCCCCTTGTGCAGAGATGCGCACGTTCACCCGGGGGTCCTGGCTGACCGCCTGCCCTCTGTGTGCAGCGCCCTATACCATCATCACCTTCCCCTTCCTCTTTGCCGTGATGTTTGGCGACGTGGGCCACGGGCTGCTCATGTTCCTCTTTGCCCTGGCCATGGTGCTCGCGGAGAACCAGCCGGCCGTGAAGACGGCGCAGAATGAGGTAAGGGCGGGTGAGGGGTCTGGGTGCGGCGGGGGGCCCGGGCCACCCCTCACAGCCCCCTCCCCGCCGGCCGCCCCCAGATCTGGCAGACTTTCTTCAGCGGCCGCTACCTGCTGCTGCTCATGGGCCTGTTCTCCATCTACACCGGCTTCATCTACAACGAGTGCTTCAGCCGCGCCACGACCATCTTCTCCTCGGGCTGGAGCGTGGCAGCCATGGCCACCCAGTCGGACTGGAGGTGAGGCCCGGCCGCAGCCCCCGTGGCCCCCGTGGCCCCCGTGGCCCCGCAGCCCCTGACCACCTGCCCCTGTTGCCACAGTGACACGTTCTTGGCGGAGCACCCACTTCTCACCCTGGACCCCAATGTCACCGGTGTCTTCCTGGGACCCTACCCCTTCGGCATTGACCCCGTGAGTCCTGGCCACTTGCCATGTGGGTGCAGGCGGCGGGAGGGCCGGGTGGGTGCCAGCACTAATCCTGACCCGACCTTGACCTGGCCATGACACCTCCTGTGCGCCCCTCCCGAGGGCCTGGCCTGGCACTGGGGGCAAGAGGTGCGGGGCTCCAGGAGGACGAGGGGCCCGCCCTGTGGGGCCCACACAGCAGCCACCTCAGGGAAGAGAGAAGCATGTGGGAGCAAGGCCAGAGCTGGCTTGCTCACAGCCTGCTGCCCAGGCGCCATTCCGTATTCTCCGTGTGACAGGATATTGCATGTAGTTCTCATGACAGTCCCCGGATGTGAGCATTAGCGTTGCTCTTGTCTCACAGAGAAGGACACAGAGATACAGGAGAGACCAGGCATGTGACGCTGCCTGGCTGGGAAAAGCTGGGGTCTGGACCCCAGTTGCCCAGCCTGTCTGTCCAGTCCATTGTTCCCTTCTGCTGCCCTGCAGTGGGCAGGTGGGTGGCAAATGCCAATGAGGCCCCACAGGGGCAGGCAGGCAGGCTGCCCAGGGTGACACCCCTCCCTCTTGCCACCCCAGGTCTGGAGCCTGGCTGTCAACCACCTCAGCTTCCTCAACTCCTTCAAGATGAAGATGTCCGTCATCCTTGGGGTCACCCACATGACTTTTGGGGTGGTCCTGGGAGTCTTCAACCACATGTGAGGGCCTGAGTTCTGGGCGGGGGGGAGAAGGGGGCACTGGGGCAGGCAGGGCCAGGGTGGCCCGGTGGGTGACCGAGTACCTCCGGCCTTCTGCCACCACAGACACTTCGGCCAGTGGCACCGGCTGCTCCTGGAGACCCTACCGGAGCTGGTCTTCCTGCTGGGGCTGTTCGGCTACCTTGTCTTCCTGGTCATCTACAAGTGGCTGTGCATCTCAGCTGCCAGCGCTGCCTCAGCCCCCAGCATCCTCATCCACTTCATCAACATGTTCCTCTTCTCCCGCAGCCCCACCAACAGGCTGCTCTTCCCTGGGCAGGTACTGCCCCACCAGACCTCTTCAGGGGGCCTCGTGATCACTGGGCCACTCTGAGCTGCAGGGTCCTCCTCTGAGAAACGGGGATGCAGGCCTGAGGCTGTGAGCCAAGGAGGTCAAGGGACCATGTGAAACTCCCCTAGGGAATCTCCCCCCAAGATTCCTTATAGTACAATGTCCCTGCTCAGTGAGGGGCCCTGGGGGAGGAGTGGGCGGCAGGCTCCCTGAGCTCCCAAGAGTCATGAGGCTCGCAGAGGGCACCCTGACTCAAGCTCCCCCCGCCCTGTAGGAGTTGGTGCAGTCTGTGCTGGTGGTCCTGGCCCTGGCCATGGTGCCCGTCCTGCTGCTTGGCACACCCTTGTTCCTGCACTGGCAGCACCGCCGCCGTTCGCGGAGGCCCACTGGCCGGCAACCGGTAGAAGCTAGAGGGAGGGGGCATGTGGCATGAGGGCTGCCGGGAGGCTTGACCCCAGCCTCGCTGCCTCGCGGTCTCCTGGGTGGCAGAGGCCTGCTGATGTCACCTGCCCTCCACCCCCAGGATGAGGACAAGTCCAGGATTCTAGACTCCTCCGACACGTCTGTGGCTGGCTGGGGCTCTGATGAAGAGAAAGCAGGGTGCCCAGGGAACTCAGAGGAGGCCGAGGTGGGTGTGGTCTTCCAGAGTATGTGTGGGGGATGGCGGCTGCCAGACTGACTTGCCCCTCACTGCCTCCCATCCCCCAGTTTGTCCTGTCCGAGGTGCTCATGCACCAGGCCATCCACACCATTGAGTTCTGCCTGGGATGCATCTCCAACACGGCCTCTTACCTGCGCCTCTGGGCTCTGAGCCTGGCCCATGCTCGTGAGTGACCTGGCCACAGGGGGTTGGCTGGCCGCGGGGCAGCTGCTGGCTGGGGGGTCTGGGCGGGTCACTTCTCCAGGCTTCAGAATCCCCTGTAGCCTGAGGATGTGGGGAGGTCCTCCACCAGGAAGGGGGCGCTTCCGGCTGCCACAGGGGCTGGGTGGGCACCCCCTCGGCCCTGGCCTCCACTGCTGCCTCCCCGACCCCCAGAGCTATCAGAGGTCCTGTGGGCCATGGTCATGCGTGGCGGCCTGCGCATGGGCCGTGAATGGGGTGTGGCGCCTGTGGTGCTGGTTCCCGTCTTTGCTGCCTTCGCTGTGTTGACAGTGGCCATCCTGCTGGTGATGGAGGGGCTCTCAGCCTTCCTGCACGCACTGCGGCTACACTGGTGAGCAGCCCACCTGGCTGGCCCCGGGAAGCACAAGGGGGCAGGAGCGGGGGCCTCCCCTCACGAGCTCTTCCCTTCTCACCCCCAGGGTGGAGTTCCAGAACAAGTTCTACTCAGGCAGTGGCTACAAGCTAAGCCCCTTCACCTTCACTGCAGAGGAATAGTAGTGCCCATCTGTGGCCACGCTCAGGTCTCTGCCTTTACCTACAGAGACAAGAAATAAAGATGGCTTTAGGAACTGTCCTGGTCCCATCTGCAATGCCACGGGCTGGGGAGGCTGGGTGTGGTGGGGCCTAGGCTCTGGGCATGGGCTGGTCCCACCCCAGGGCTCCTGATATCATGGACTCCGTGCCTGGCTATATATTATGCCCATCTTCCTCATGCTCACCTATGCAGCTGGGCTTGTTGTCAGGTGTAGTGGAGTGGGAAGCCCTGGTCTGGGACCTGGGGTCTTGAGAATTTGGGGAGAGGCCTCATGAACACATCTGCAGTAATTCCAGAGTCTTGGCGTGAAAAGGGGCAGAACTAGGACCAAGGAAGGATGTTTCCAGCACATTCTAGCTCAGTATGAGTGTCTCCCAGGCTGAGCCAGGGATGTGAGCTCCCGATATCCTTGGGGATGTGCAAGTGGCTGTTAGGAGACTGTTTGGGATACTCGGCATGAAAGGTGGTGCCTGGCATGATGGGCCAATGTTTCCATGCCCTGGTGCTAGCTAGCCCCACCTCAGGCACTCAAGATGTCTTGAGGCAGGGAGCAGCCTGGGACACCACAGCCTGACCCAGCAGTGAGGACTGGGACACTCACACACACGGCCACCATTCTAGAGAAGGGCAGAGGCTGTCCAGGCAGCCCAGGAGCCACCCAGGGCCCCAATGGTCAGGAAAAGGATTGAGCTGGATTCCAGGCCCTGCTGCCCCTTCAGTGGAACCTATTGTCTCTCCCACCCCTCCTTGGTGACCAGTCCTGCCGCCTCCCCCCACACTGAGGTCATCCTGCGGCTGGTTGGGTGGAGAGGAGCATTTTGCATGTCTTTCTGGCCTGGGTCCCACCACTGGCTGGGAGGTGGTGCCAATGCTTCTCAGAGGCCTTCCTTTCTCAGGCTGAGGAGCTGCAAAATGGCTCTTCCGGCAGGAGGCCCCAGGAACAAAGGCTGCTTTGAGGCCAAAGATGCCCTGGGCATGGCAAGCCGGGTGGCCTGGCTCCATGACTGTGGCTCTCATCTGGCCAGCTGCTGGGAGGAGCCTGACTGCCCTGCTCAGGGCCTCCAGATGCCAGGGGGCTGGGGGTGGGCAGGGAAGAGCGGGGGGAGCGGGTGAGTCCTTACATAGGAGTACAGTATCATTTACTGCTAGTTTTATCTTTTGGACACCAAAACACACTCACCCGGTTAAAATTTAAAATAGGGATCCCTGGGTGGCGCAGCGGTTTGGTGCCTGCCTTTGGCCCAGGGCGCGATCCTGGAGACCCGGGATCGAATCCCACATCGGGCTTCCGGTGCATGGAGCCTGCTTCTCCCTCTGCCTGTGTCTCTGCCTCTCTCTCTCTCTCTGTGACTATCATAAATAAATTAAAAAAAAATTAAAAAAAATTAAAATGTCGGGCAGCCCCGGTGGCACAGAGGTTTAGTGCTGCCTACAGCCCGGGGTGTGATCCTGGGGACCCGGAATCGGGTCCCACGTCGGGCTCCGTGAGTGGAGCCGCCTTCTCCCTCTGCCTGTGTCTGCCTATCTCTCTCTCTGTGTCTCTCATGAATAAATAAATAAAATCTTAAAAAAAAAAGAAACAAAATTAAAATGTCTACAAAGGCAAATAGTAGAAAATCTTCCTCCTGCCTGAGCAAGCCAGCAGTTCAGTCTCCTCCAGGATGTCCCCCTGCTCCTAGTTTCTTCTAGATCCTTATGGTCGTGGGGCAGAGAAGACCGGCCGGGAGCCCTCCATAGGCACAACAGGCGACAGGAGATTTAGGACACACCCAAGGGTGACAGGATGAGTTTTATACGCTTTTATTATTTGTATAGTACAATCTCTGGTAGCAGAAATGTATGCACAAAAAAAAACATTCAAGTAAGAGTTCAGAGTAAAAAAAAATTTATCCCAAAGGACATTTAACATATATGGGTTTCACAGCTATAGTGTATCTGCGCCCCCACATTCCACAGACTGCTCTTTCCCACCAGGAGGACCCCATCAGGGATATCGGGAACAGGGAGGGCAGGGGAGCTGGCCCAGAGCCATGGTCAGGCCTCCTCCCTCTCCCCACCTGGCACACTGAGGCCCCCGCAGCTGGGCAGCAGGAGGCTTCAGCCCAGGCACAGAACCCACAACCCCTCGGCTGAGCAGAGGAGGAGGAGAAAAGGCTGCGGAGAGCAGGACAAAGCTCTCTGTGGGGAAGGGAGGCAGGAGGCCCCTGTGCATCCAAAGGTCCCCAAGCTGCCCCTTGGCTGGCAGGTGGCCCCCTATGGGCTGCGTGCCCCTGAGCCTGGAGTTAGTAAAGCACATTCAGTTAAAGAGGAGGGCAGGGCCAAGTTGCATCCGGTCAGGGTGAGATGCGTTTGCATAACAGTATATGTACAACAGGTAGCAAGGAGCTACATTCGTCGGTTCATCCTTGTCCAGAGACAACAGCTCACCCCCGTCACAGGCAGTCTGCCGTCCGGAGCATCAGCCACGTGGACCAGAGGGTGAGGGAGCAGCTTCCAGAGACTTGTGCTCAATCCACAGGGCTATGTCACAGTCTGTCCCTGCTCACTCACTGCGCTCGGGAGCCAGCAGCATCTACACAGTCACCAACAGAGAGCATGGTCACAGTGTTCCCCAGCATGTGAACTCAAATCCTTGAAAAATCAACATTAACCAAAAAGAAGACCCACAGAAACACTGTTTACTCTCGCTGTCTGCCATACCTGACTACAAACTTCAGGCCCCAAATAGGAGATGCCTTCTCTAGATAAAAAGGATTCTGAGATATTGCACTATTGCGCTATTGAACTATGTTTCTGCTTCCCGATCTCATTGCAGACCTAGTGAAATCGTAAACAAGATAGGATATAAATGTTACTCAATTTTAATACAGTCTTTCATATCATACACATCTGTGTCGGCAGCGAGACATCCAAGCCTTGCTGTAGGGACAGCAGTTGGAGCGCGGAGGGGCCCGTTGGCTGGCCACCCCCACGCAGTCCAGGGATGAAGTGGATGGCGCCTCCCACGCTCACACCCCGAGCTTCCGCTTCTGGTCGAAATAGGCATCGAACCTTGCTTGGGCGTAGTCCTAGGAGACATAAGGAAGAACAGCCTCACCAAAGACTCCCACCCAGGCTGCCCATGTCCCGCGTGGGCCCGTGCCTGGGCCACTACCGCTGCACCGGACAGAGCAGCTCCAGCCGCTGCAGGGTGTCCAGAACCCCAGACACCCAGCTCAGGCACCCGGGCCGTCGTGGCATGGCCACCCAGGTGGGCCTTCTGTCTCTGTATCTGGCACTGCCACGGTTCACGCTCGTTTACCCTGAATGCTGCAGGCACTGAATGAAACACAGGCTCCTCTCTCAAAGCAGAAGATCCCTGGGGCTGAGTCAAGTAGAGAACAGAGGTGTGAGGAAGAAGGTACCACCAATTTTCTGGGATCACCTGCAGCAATACTGCTACTGAGACATGAGAGGGACGTTAGAGACTCTGGTCTTGAGTTCTGCCTACATGAAAACCGTCAAGCCATGTGTCTCTGGGTCTGCTCCCCGACCCGCCCCTCAGGGTGGAAAGCACAATCTCTGAAGCGCCTGCTTCAAACTGAAAAGTCTGTGATGCCAACTGCCAGGAAGATTACAGCATCATTGTTTCAAACTCGACATTGGGATGTAACTTATGTACCACCGCTTTGAACTTCAAAAATCAATGACTTCAGAGTTGGACATTTTCACAAACGTGTCCATCCAATTTAGCACCAGCACCACAATCCTGCTAAGGAACATTCCAGCACGCTCACATTTCCACGGGCCTGGCTCCAATGCCTGGCCACAGGCAGCCTCTGAATTCTATCTCAATCACCGTGGATTTTGCTGTTAGAAAACTTTTCCATCATCAAGTCATCCAGTGTGTACCCTTTCGTGTCTGGCTTGTCTCACTCAGCATAGTAACATTTCTGGGATTCATCCAGGCTGTTGTGAGCATCTGTGGTTCATTCCTGTTACTGTGGAGTACTTGTCGATTGTATGATCTAACACACTACAAATATCCATTCATCTGACTGGCATGCGGGTTTGGGCAATTAAACAGAAAGCTGCTGTGAGCAGGAGTGCCAGTCTTGGTGTGGAAACATGCCTTCATATCTTTTGGATCAATCCCACAGTAGGAGGTTGCCAGGCCGGACACTAGGTGTACCATCAGACCCTCTACCTTCCCCCTTAGCCATGTATGCGGGTTCCAGCTGTTCCACATTCTTGCTGACATTTGTGAGTGTTGGTGTCTCAAATGTTTTAGCTGCCATCATAGTGTGCAGGGCATCTTGCTGGAGATTCAATCTGCACTTCTTTTATGACTAATTACATTAAGCAGACAAAAAAGAGGTTTACTAGCCATTTGCTTCTCTCTCGTGAAATGTCCTATTGCTTCTCTCTCGTGAAATGTTCTGCCTATTTACAAAGTAGTTTGATTTCTTGCTAAGTTGTGAGCTCTTTATATATTCTAAATACAAGTCCTTCTAGAGGGAGAGATCTGCCACATTTGCTCCAAGGCTGTGCTTGCCTTTTTGTTTTCTTAATAATGTCATTCTAAGATCACAAGTTTTTAACTTTGATTAAGCCCAACTTACTGTATCTTTTTTCTTTTATGGTCAGTGCTTTACGTAACCTAAGAAATCTCTGCCATGGTCACAAAGCTTTTCTCCTTTGTTTTCCAGATGCTTTTACACCTAGGCCTGTTATCCAAGTTAATGCTTATGTATGGTGGGAGACCAAGTTCATCATTTTTCTCATATGGCTGCTTAGTTCTTCCCGCATCAGTTTTGAAAATCTAACCTCTTCTCCAATGAATGACTGTGACCCTTGAGTATCAGTTGGCTGTATGTATGAGTGTCTCTGGGCACCAGGCTCTACTCTATTTGACAGATGTCCATCTTTACACCAATATCGCAGTCTTGATACATCTTAAAATCAGGCAGAATGAGTCCTCCACGACCCGGGATCGAGTCCCATATCAGGCTCCCGGTGCATGGAGCCTGCTTCTCCCTCTGCCTACGTCTCTGCCTCTCTCTCTCTCTCTCTCTCTCTCTCTCTCTGTGACTATCATAAATAAATAAATTAAAAAAAAAACTTAAAAAAGAATGAGTCCTCCAACTTTGTGAAGTTTTAGTTTCACATAAATTTTAGAACTTACCGGTTTCTGCCAAAAAGCCTGGGGCTGGGGGGGGGGGGTGGTGTTTGACTGGGATCACGAAGACTCTGGGTATCAGCTTGGGGAGAACAGACTCTTAATATGGAGTCTCCTGAAGCCATAAATGGGGTCTCGCAGTCCATTTATTTAGGTTTTTAGCCATGTTTTACAGTTTCCAGTGTGAAGACCATGCACATATTTCAAAAATCTCATCCCTAAGTATTTCATGTTTTATACCATTGTAAATACAATGAAACTTCACTTCCACAGCTTAAACAGCATTTCTGTTCTTTGATATTTTCTCATGTACTTGATCATGTCAACTATAACACAGAAGTTTTTCTTTTTTGTTTCCAGTACTTTTGCATTCCCTCTCTTTTCCTGGCCTCACTATGCTGCCCAGGTGCTCTGATCCCCTGGGGGGTGGCAGTGGGATGTGAGAGCAGCGCACCTTCCTTGCTTGCTGTCTGGGGCTCTCAGGTGTGAGGGAATGCTCCAGCTCTCACTGGTAATTATGACGCTAGCTGTATGTTTCATACGTGCCCTTTCCCTGGTAAAGGAAGGACCCTACTATTCCTACTTTGCTGAGGCTTGTTTCTGTTTTAAATTATGATCATGAATGGGTATTGGATTTTGTCAAATGCTTTGCCTGCATTCACTCAAAAGATAATATGGTTTTCTTCTCTCATTCTGTTAATATGTTGAATTATACTAACTGGTTTTTAAAATGTTAAATTAACCTGGCATTCCAGAGATAAGTGCCACTTGGTCCTATCTATGTTGGATTTAATTTCTGCTAATATATTTTTTAAAGATTTTATTTATTTATTCATGATAGACGGGGGGGGGGGGAGAGAGAGAGAGAGAGAGAGAGAGAGAGAGAGAGAGAGAGAGAGAAAGGCAAAAGGCACAGGCAGAGGGAGAAGCAGGCTCCATGCAAGGAGCCTGACGTGGGACTTGATCCTGAGTCTCCAGGATCATACCCTGGGCTGAAGGTGGCACTAAACCGCTGAGCCACCCGAGCTGCCCTAATTTCTGCTAATATTTTGGTAATGATTTTTCTGTCTTGCTCATGAAGGGCACTCATCTGCAGTTTTCTTAATGTCTTTGTCTCGTTTTGGCATCGGGGCAATGCTTTATCAAATGAGTAGAGAAATGTCCCTTCCTCTCTTTATTCTCTAAAAGTCTGTGTAAAACCAGTATTATTTCTTCCTTAAATATTGGGTGATATTCACCAGGACATGCAGTTTATGCTACAGGGAGGTTTTCTTTCTTTATTTATTTAAGATAGTCACAGAGAGAGAGAGAGGCAGAGACACAGGCAGAGGGAGAAGCAGGCTCCATGCACCGGGAGCCCGATGTGGGATTCGATCCCGGGTCTTCAGGATCGCGCCCTGGGCCAAAGGCAGGCGCCAAACCGCTGCGCCACCCAGGGATCCCCTAGATTTGTTTTAAAAAGTAGGTTCCATGCCCAATGTGGGGCCTGAACTCATGACCCTGAGATCAGGAGTCATGTGTTCCACCAACAGCCAGCCAGGTGCCCCTCTTTATCTAGTTCTATTGACTTCAGGCTGAGGTTGTTTTTTTCTCTTTCTAGCTTTTTAAAGTAGAAGCTCCAGTCACTGGTTTGAGGATTTTCTTATCTAATACAAATGTAAAACCTTCAAAGCCACAAGTTTTTAAACTCTGCTTTAACTATACCCTGCAAATTGATATATTGTTTTCATTATAATCTGGTTCAAAATACTTTCTAATTGTCTATTTCACTACAATCCAGGGTTTATGTAGGTATACTGTTTAATTTCCAAATAATTAAGAATTTTCAAACTTTGTTGTTGATTGCCTACTAAATTCCATGATGATCAGAAAATATACTTTGGATTTCAATTCTTTTCAACTTGAGATCTGTTTCGTAACGCCCAGGGTATGGTCTATCTTGGCAAATACACCATATTCACCAGGCAAGAACTTATATCCTGCAGTTGGGCATTCAACAGTGTCAGGCTGGGCAAGAGACGGCCCCTGCTTCATCCCTCCCCTCAGGCTGGGGGAGACTGCAGTCCCCCTTCCACCCCCTACCCCACTCTGGCTGTGCAAGAGTGCGGTCCCCACTCCATCCCTCTCACTGCTGTGTGTCCAGCTCTGCCTCTCTGCTCTGTGGGTTCACCTCTCTGCTCAGTTTTCTCAGGTTCTGCTTTATGTCTTCTGAAGCAAGACAGATGCATACACATTTAGGATTTTTTTCTATGTCTTTTGGATTAACTGATCCCTTTATCATTATGAAATTATTCCTTATCTTTGGTAATATTTTCTTTTTTTTTTTAAAGGATTTTATTTATTTATTCATGAGAGACACAGAGAAAGGCAGAGGCAGGGACGTAGGCAGAAGGGAGAAGCAGGCTCCCCGCAGGGAGCCCGATGTGGGACCCGATCCCGGGTCTCCAGGACACATCCTGGGCCGAAGGCGGCATTAAACTGCTGAGCCACCCGGGCTGCCCTGGTAATATTTTCTGATGTGTACTTTGTCTTACAGTATCATTTGACCTTGGCTTTGAATCCGTTTAAAACTCCTTATTCCCCCCTTCTTTTCCCTAACAGCATCTGTGTGTCATCAAACCTCCTGCCTGGAAGCAGAAATCACTATAACCAAGGACTGGGAGGATGAATGAACCTGTACTAAAGCAAGATGCTCACAGCAGAGTATGTGTGCCCCCACCCCAGGACATGCCACCAACACTTGCTATGGGGCAGCAGATGGCTTAACTCAAGGTTAAAACTGTCTATGTTAGGGACAGTTCCTGAAGTCAGAAGGAAATGACAGCCTGGCTTGTCGAACTATATCCTCATTCAATCCGCACCAGCCACCCACTGGAGAATGGGCACTGCAGGCCAGAGAATGGAGCAGTGACAACTGAAGCAAACACGTCAAAGCACAGGCAGGCACCCTCACGCTCCTTCACTCTGTGTCCCTCCTGTCAGAAAGGCCTGAGGCCAAGGGCTGGACCACCAATATCCATCAGAGCCACAGGGTCATAAAGCACCTCTCTGAAGCAGGGAAGGTGAAGCCAGCTCCAAAGGCAGATGCAAAGCCAACGTGGGTTAAATAGTGCAGCCTTTAACCCCAGGCTTCCTGGGCTGAGCCTGCTGTCCTGGGGCCAGGTCACCTCATTCAGGACCTTGTGGGGACACATGTAGATCTCTGTAAGGAACGTTCATTTCCCCCATGCACTCACAAACAATTTTCTTTCTGGGAATAGAAGAGAAAACCATCCCGAAACATACCATGTACCCAAATTCAATGGATGAAATCTTGGCCTGTACGATGGACCAAAGTCCCCAGAAGAAATGGGATGCAAGGGCAAACCTGTAATTACAAAAGCAGGAAATGCACATGAGATGTGTGGTGCTGGCCAAAGGCCCAGTGATGGGATTTCCTGATGGCAGGCACTGTAACTCATCGGAACGCAAACCCAGTCTGCCCTGGCCCACTCAACAAGATTATATTCCATAGTGACCAAGAACAGGGTGGGAGCCCAGCAGCTGGCCTCTCCCACCTCTGCTGGGGGCAGGTGGACCTGCAGTGTGGACATGCCCAACTGCTGTCCCTGGCGCATGGCTACAGTCCAAGGACTCACACAGAGGCCTTGGGGGCCACATAGGCGGGGCACGGGCCACACCGGGAAAGAAACGGTCTCTGCTACATGTACGCGAGCGCCCAGCATCAGCAACTTAGGGTGCATTATACGAGAGGAGGAACACACAGGCCTCTGGATGACTCACTGGCTTTCTGAGGAGGTAGGATGTTGCCTCACCCTCATCCCTGCCCTCCTACAGCAGTGAAACAGAGTGTGGCGGTGAACCATGGCCCCCATCACTGAGAACCCAAGCCCCCCTCACAACAGTGCCTTTGGGCTTCACTGAATGCTTCAGTGTCCTACTCAAACCTGATTGCTTTTCTTGTGGTCCTTGACCCACTACACATCCCTTGGAGCTACCCTTTCTGTCTGGCTCTCCTCCACTTTTCTATTTCTATCCATTCTAGAACCAGAGTGGGAAGATCTATGCACCAGGGGAAGCCCCAGGGACAGTGAGGGTGGCTGTACGCCCAGCAACAGGGCCGTGGACACTTCAGAAGAGGTGATTTATGGTGAGTGGACTGAAGTCACCTAAACATTTTTGCCAAAGAATCTCCTAAGAGAGCTCAAAGAATGAGTAATTCAGGTCTCTTATCTAAAGAGATGAGTGTATTTGATAAACAGGGGTCCAAGCTTTCATGAAATCTAGAAGTTTCTCAGCCCTGCTTTGAGAGCTAGTGAAGAAAAATTAAAAGACTCAGAACACTCACAATTTATAGTTTTCAGAAGAAACACATTATTGGATGGTGCCCACCACTCCACGAGCATCAAGTGACGAGAGCATTCAGGCCCTGGGTGGCACAGCCTCACACAGCCAAGTCCTATGTGTAGATTACAGTGTGGAGCGCCAACCACACACCCTAACCCTATAACACTGACCCTGCTCTCTACACCTGCTGTGCGCTGAAATCTGGAGAGGTACCAAATGCTCCATGTTTGACAAAGTAGAAGTCCCAAAGATGTAAGGGTATAAAGAAGCTCCTAAAATACTAATGATTGCAATTCGGCATCCCAATTATATTCTATAAACAGGACAACAATTTTTTATAAATTAACAACAAAACAAATTACCTATTGACTTCAAGTAACATTTCTTCTTCTATAATGGACTTTTCTTCATTACTGAGGTTTTCAAATTCATTTTGGAATGCAGCCAAGTAATTGGAAATAAAGTGGAGCTTTAAAAAAAAGTAATTACATTAGAATCTGACGGTGACAGATGGTGGTGTCAAGAACTGTCAGGAAGCACCACATGGCTGGAAGACACCCCACATATCCAGCGGACACCCCACACATCCAGTGGACACCCCACATGGCCAGAGGACACTCTACACACCTGGCAGGGCCTGGAGGAGCTCTGTGCCAGGCAGGAGCACGGAAGCTCACCGGTGCGTGCGGCTGTGATCACAGTCAGAGTTTACTGGACTCGGTGCCACACTGTCAACAAGACAGGCACAGGAAACCACCGCTGCTTCTGGACAAAATCACTGAGGTAGAATCTACTCCACATTCCCGTTCCCCAGTCTGGTCACAAAGCAGGGTAAGCCTACGTCACACATCCCCCTGGATGGGCTGGCATTCTGTGTGGGGCCTTCACAGGTGTGCCTGGCGTAGGCGCTATAGGGGCCCGAGGTTGCTGGCAGAGGCTCCGTCAGAGTGGGAGCTCACCAGACCACGTGAAGGGGCCTGCTGCCTCTGACGTGCCGCGGTGACGTATGTAAGTCCCCAGATTGGCAAGGTCTAATTCTGGTTTGGAGAAGAGGCTCTACCAGGTCCCGCATGTAGTCTACACGTGAATCAGGATCTAAAAGACCCCTGTTCTTCAGTAGCTCACACTATACCAAACGGCACCAGAACACAGAGAACCATCATTCACTTGCTTTCTTTTATAAAAAGGAAACGGCTGGCAGCTGCTTCACCTAGAGAATGCCATTAATGGATTACGTAGCTGGAAGGGCAACACTGCCTTTCCACCACCTCGTCCACTTTCCTGTTCCCAGATAGATGGCTTTCATACTCCGCACCTCCTCCCACCAGAAAGCAGCATTCCAGCTAGAGGGCTGTGCTAGCAGGGCATTCTGGAAGGAGTAAACCTGGCACAGGCATGGCGATGGCTCACGCCTATTAAATTCTACGTAGCAGGCACCATCCTGAGCCCTTTGTTTCTGAACATGACCTCACACCTCCCAAGAACAGAATAATTTCTGCAGACGAGGCAACAGAAGCACACACAGAGTCAGTAGGTGACAGTGAACAGTGGCAGATCTGCGATTCAAATCTAGGCACTGTTTTGAAAACCCAGGCTTGAACCATCATACAAGATGGGTTAATTTCTGAGAGATACTAAATGCTCAAATTGGCCAATGAAGACAGAAAATTTGAATAGATCAACACCTTAAGAAATGGTAATGAATGACCTTTCCTCCCCAAAAGTTTGAGGCCCACACTTTCTTACAGGTAAAGTTACCAAATTTTCAAAGACATCATGCCATATAAATTTGTCCCAAAAAATTACAAAGGGACACCAAACACATTTTATTAGACTAGCATAATATTTATTCCAAAACTAGATACAAATAATAATTTTTAAATGACCATTTTAAGCCCATTTCACGTATGCACATAGATGTAAAAGTCCTAAGTAAGAGACTGCCTCACTGGACCCAACAGAGTGTTTCAAAATAACACACCTCATTCAAATGGTTTATTTTAGGAACTTCATAGTTTAACATTTTAAAGGACTAAAGAGAGAAAAGCATGACTTTACCAGGTAGGTGCAGAAAGGGTAGCTAATGAAGACCAACACCTATATGTGACTTTTTAAATTGCTCAAAAAATAAAAATTGAACTTCCTTCATTTCTGTTGCTGTGCAGTGCTGGTGGTTACACAGCCCTGCGGCCCATCACATGGAACCTGCCTTCTCACTGGCAGAAAACCCCCTCCCTCCTCCTGGCTGGAGAGTCCACACTCTGGGGCTGCCCAGTTGTGACAGAGGAAGAACTTCCTTCGGTACAGCAGGAATTTCAATACCTGAAGACTGCTGCTGCGTCTCCTCGTCCCCCAACACCTTTCTTCTCATACAGCATGACCTCGAGGCCAGAGCCAGCCTGGCCACTCTGCTTGGAACCCACTCAAGCTCATCACAGTCGTCCTGACAGTGTGGCCAGAAGAGGGCAATATAGTTTTGGTCCCACAGCAAGTCAACGCTTGAATGGCTGCCCCTGGAGTGTGTGCCATCTGCTGAAGGTACGATCACTGCGCCTGGCACAGGTGAGAGTGCTCAAGGACATCTCCTGAGTGAAATACAGCAGCGGCTGACTGCATCCCAGTCCTCACACCTCTCTCTGACCTCTATGAAATGCTGCTGAGCTGGCAAGAGTTCCACGGGAAGAGCTGTTCCCGTAGCAGGGGTTGAGCTACTGCCCTGCCCAGGCTCAGGATACCTTCTTCTCAACTGGGTTTGCTTCCACATCGCTACCCACTTACCCTCAACCCACAGCTCCGACGGCAGACTGAGGAAGAGAGCAGGGACTCCCAGGAGGAACTTCCCACACGGTGATTCTTCACGCAGCCCCCTCCCCCCTACTCAGGACAGGAAAGGGAACTGGTAACAACCGTAGCAGCTACTAAGTCATGGTGCCCAATAGACTACTTTTGTCTGCACGGAGTGAAACACACACAGGAAACATCATGATCCCCACAAAGAAGGCCAGGAGGCAGATCAGAGGCTGGGCTTTTTGGAAAAAATGAGAAGGAGCTACAAAAGAGACTGTGTTTTTTCTAACTGAATACAGGTTATCCCTGACACAGGGATTAAAATGTCAAGTTTGTGTCCAAACACAAAATCCCATTTTAGAGCAAAAGGGTTTGCTTAAAAATTCCATGATTTAAAAAAGGTGTCATGAAGATGCAATCAATTCTAACTGCATGAAATGGACTCATACATTAATCTACCAAGCCTACACAGTCACCTCCTACCTGTTGTTTCCTGGTGGGGTACTTCAGGATGTTCGCTCTGAAGAAAGGGTACTTTTCATAGGTATAGTCGTACATCCATTCACAGAAATGATTCCCAATGTCGAATCCCCTGAAAAAGAGGTAAGAGCTGCAGAGAAGGGCTCAGACTACCGCACCATGAGGCTCCTCTGGTCAGAGAGGGGAAAAGGCCAAGTTGTGAGCATCCCTCTCAACAACAAGCTGTCTTTCCTGTGGTTCCCCAAGGATGACTGCCCCAGGGGCAGAGAGGGCCAACAGGGCATTTACCAGAACCACAGCCAACTGAAGCTACAAAAGCGCCACCCAACCCACCACTCAGGAGCAGTTGTTCGAGAGCATTCTCCTGCACTCAGTACTCTGATCTCTGAAGCCAACAAAATACCCAATTCTGTGTTCTGATCACTCACACTGCTGCCCCCCACTACCAGCAAAGAACAGGCCCGGCTGCTTTCCACGCTGCTGAAGACTGCTAGGACGCTGGGACAGAGTGCACAAGCTCCTACGGTACTGTGTCGTGGCTGCCTATTTCCTCCTGTGGCTGTTTCATACCTGTAATTATAGCTGCTGTATTCGAAGTCGATGAGCATCAGTCTCTGCTTTTCAGAATTCTCTCTGCCTTCCAGCATTAAGATATTACCTGCAGAAAGGTTTAGGTAACATGCCATTTACTGTTGGCATGTGGCACAGTTGAGAGCAAAAGTCCTTGAACGTAGGGCTGAGAGTGGTGCTGATCCTGTCAGGGAACCCTAACCACGCAGTGAGTGGGTGCGGGCTGCGGAGCACACTGCCCCCCGAAGTCCAGCCCAAACAGAAGGCCCTGGGCTGTGTGGACACAAGGCCCCTGTTCACAGCAGCCCAACAGTAACATGGCCCCAAGCTCACCCTGGAACAAGAATGGCTCTCCCTTGGCTTGTTGGGACTGCACCTCCAGACTTTCTACACTAGGGTATGAAAGAAAACACCTGACTGCATCCTGGAGTTCTGGCTGACCCAACAACCCGAGCAGCCCTAGGGAGGGTGGCTGTGGCCCACCAGTTAGGAAGCTGTGTGCTGGCATCCAGCTTAGGCAGCACAGGGCTCTGCAGACCATACTCCCAAGGAGGAGACCACAGGCACCTTTCCTTCCATCATATTTCCTTCCACAGCTGAATTCTGGGCCTGAAGTGAACTGGCTGCCAGACTGGCTCTTCAGGCTCTTCCCAAGGCCCCACACTCGACCCAATGCTCAGCATCTGTCACTATCAGGCTGGCGGGTAGGCACCAGTGAGCCAAGCTTTGCTAATTTTTTGGCCACTCTCTCCAGGGTTTCTGTAGGTGTTTTCTCTAGGGTTTTTAGCACACATCTTCTGTTTCCAGGGGCTATTACAAGGAGATGCCCAGAGCAGTAGAGCAAAGTAAATGTATAACTCCCACCTCCTCTAGCCTTTTCATACATTGGCGATCACTGGCCAAACCCCCCTGGTGATGTCTGTGTAGCTGACTATTGCCTGCTAACACACAAACCTGGCTGACATGTCTACACCCTGCTTGACTTGGCCAGCAATGACCCACTAATTAATAAAAGGTATTTTGGTTCAAACTAATGTCTTACTAATGACTGGTCTTCAACAGAGACTATTATCAAAATTAAAAACAAACTGCTGAGCCTGGCATAGGGCCTGAGGGTGGATGTGAGCTAGCCATGATGAAGAGGACAGGGACAGCAAGGCAAAACCACACCAGAACCCAGCACCACAGCAGCACCGGTGGAGCTTAGACAGGGCCTCCATTTGAAGTCCCAGTGAGGGGTACCTGGCATTATACTTTTTGGAAGGCAGAGACCCAAGGTCATGGTAGAGTGAACTAATCCCAGGAGAGCAGGTGCAAAATGGGGCCAGGGCAAGGCCCCCAGGACTGAGTGGGGGCAGTTACCTCTCACTGGGTTTTCATATTATCAAAGTTGCGTGTTCACAGAGTTAAACACTGAACAAACATGTGACTTAGGAGGTTTTGATCCTTTATCCAAGCTCACAGTTTAGTGACTATTGCCATTTTTTCTTCTATGAATGTATTGTTTACAAAAATGGGAGGACACCCGTGTTTTTCTAAAACTTGCTTTTTTTCTCTTAACATATCCTGGAAATTTTTTCTGTTGGTCTGCATAAAAACTTGACCTCATTTTTTAAAATAGTGGTAGAATATTCCACTGTGTAGCTGTGCCATTATTTCACATGTGTACCCCCTTCTGCACAGACACCTGGCATCCATCACACCGCTGGAGGCTGCCTTTGAAGGAGACACACAAACCCAGCTTCACCTAACAGGCAGCAATTCTTACCTTCCTGACAATCATTGTGACAAAACACAACTGGAGAAGGGGTGGATTCAAGTAGTGACCTGGAAAGGGAATCACAGTGTAGGTCAGATGCCTCCATGACTGGTAGCAGACAGGCACACTGCACCACCATGCAGCCTCTGTGCAGTGCCTTCCCCGTGAGCTCCGAGAATACTGCATTCATGTGGCCCCAGCTCACCTTGGAGACTCACACCAGCCCCCGAGGGCACCTAGCTCTTCCACAGGCAGGCCCTTTCCACCCAAAGCACAACCCTCCTCCTCTGCTCCAGCCCCTGGTTTCCGTTACATCTCTTATCACAACTCAACGCTACGGGACACGTTTGCTTGTCTCTGTTTCTCTTAATAAGAGGCAAGTGCCTCAAAGGCCATCCTGGTCTCCATGTCCTCAGCACTACTCACACACGAGTGATGACAACTGTGACTTCTCACGCTCGGGTGAGTACACCCTGGACACTCCATGGCTGCCCCTACTCGCAGGCCCAAACCAGGCTTCCTGCCCCATATCCCCCAGTGCTCGGGCTGAACGGTTCCCCCCAACTGCCCCCATGGCTTGTTTTGTGTTTTGTTTCAGAAAAACCCTATGGCCTTCACCGACTGTTCCTCACCTCAGATACTGCAGCTCCAGAGGCAGATTGTAGCGGAGGAGCCTGTGGAGCTGCTTCACCCGGGGCTCCCCAGCAAACTTAATCCTCAGCACTTGATTCAAGTACCTGGAAGAAAAAGGGAGAACAAAAATCACCTCCCAGTTCACCATGGCTTACCATTGGGGGTCCTGTTAAGTACGATGGCAGCAGGGACCCTCAGGCCGCAGGACAGAGCCTGGGGCTCCAGGCTCTCTACAAAGCTCATCTCTGCCCACCCACCCACCTATTCAGTGGACCAGAGGAAGACCTCCAACCACCGTGGCAAATAAGTACTCACTCTGGCACCTCTGGCAGCCGCTAACAGAAAACTAAGTTAGAGCCAAGCGGTTTGACCACTTACTTTTCCATTGTTCCAAAAAGCCATTTTGGTTCCTTATTGAATGGCATTTTCATACCATGAAATGTGGCCATTTTCTCAGCTATTTCTGCAGAAATATCTGGCAAGCTTAATTCTTCAGTGTCTAAGCGTCGGCTCTGGAACGAACAAGAGAGTTAGAGAACAAACAGCATTTCTCCAGGAAGCCTGGAGGGGGGCGATCACACAAGCCTAAGACCTAGCAGCCAGTTCCACAGTGTGTCTGCCTCAGTCGGCACACAAAACTCCTTGAGGAAGTGGACAGTCGACAGTGACCCAGCAACCGCCATGGCATTTCTCAGCCTGTGGCCCCTCTCATATATAAGCATTTAGGCAGACTCTGCCCTCTCTTCCCTCTCCTTACCCTAGAGCATGCCTTCATCCCTGGTAAAAGTTCTGAGTCTCAGGATTTGTTACATGAGCCCATGTCAATTCCTTCAGCACCTCAGACACCCTGGCCTGAAAGATCACAGCCAAGAGGTGGTGCTCAGCACAGGTCCTAGTCAGAAGCACGGCAGGAGTTCAGGGTGAGCCATTACCCCCTCATCTACGGTAGCATCTGCAGCACCCCACAGCACCCTACCTGGCACAGAGCAGCTCTCAGAGTGCACAGCTGAACGAAGAAAGAGATGTCCAACTCCCACTACTGCAGTCTGAGGCTATACATGCTCAGGCTGCACTTTCCCAGCTCCTCACAAGGAAATCACAATCAACTAAATTTCAACTAAGACCTGTTTATCTTTTCCACATGCACTGCTCCCCTAAAGAAGCCCAAAGAGGCATTCCTCTGAAAATCCAGAGCACGCAAGGGTGAAGGGGGTGGTGGTCTCCAAGTTAGAGAAAACTCAGCTCAAATTCTGGCTTTAATCCTCATTTCAAAGCCACATGGCCAAAGGCATGTTACTCAGACTTCTGCATCTTTCTGATCTCTGTAAAATGAGAAGTATGACATCGAGTCCCTGGTGAGGGTGCTCTGACCTAGAACAGATAGTGCTGGCAAGGGCCCTGGACCAGCACCCAGCCAAGGAGGTCTCGACAAATGGTGGGAGCCTGATGACGAGAGCTCGGAGCTCATCGGAAGCAGCAGGCTCAAACTCCTCCTCTCCTACTCGAGAACCCTCCAAGTTATGACATGATCAGGACATGGTTAGAGACGGGGACTTGGCTCTTAGTGGCAGCTCACTCATTTTTCATGTGGCTCTGTTAAAAAAAATGCCATACTTGGCATCGTGGAAAGTGTAAAGCTAACCGTGGTCAAAGATGAACATATTTCATAGTTCTAAGGTCCTTTCCCAGCACAGGGAAAGAGCAATAGGAGACCAACCAGGGTTCTTAGAGGCCACCACTCTCCTGTGTCCTCTGGAAAATGCTATGGGAACCAGACAAGGTGGAGTGCCTCCCACACCACTAGATGCTCAAGAGTAAACCTGGAAATAACATGTACTATCAGGCTGAGCCAAATGAAATCACCATTTATGGGGCCAAAAACAGTTGATGATTGGTTCAACCCAGTATTTTAAGAACTTTTAAAAATCTTCACTATATAGTAAACATTATATACAAAAAGAAGTTAGAATTTCAGAACTAGAATAGTATAAATCCCACAGACATACAACCCACGTATCCTGATCCAGAACAGGACAGTCCCAATATTCTGAGTTGTGCTCACGGGTCCTTTATCTTCCCTAAAAAGAGAAGTTTTACCACACAGGTATGTTTTAAACAATTTTTAGTTTGCTTTTAGTGGGCTTTATTAAAACAGTATACTATGTGTAGTCTTCCACAATCTGGTTTTATCAAACTCAATATTGTTTTTAAGATGTTGCCACTTCTAACCACAGGAAGTATTTTAGATTTTCAATTCTTTCAAATACTTTATTATCTCATTTGATTTTCACACCAGTCAGGTGTTACTGTCTTTACTGGGACAGTTATAAATGAAAGCACTTCCAGGTAGCAAGGAGGTACAGGTACAGAGACAGAAAGTCTGTCATGACGGTATAGCTGTTGGTTTCAGCACACCCCCAGGCTGGCAGCTGCACATGTGGTGCCACTGCATCAAGCAGAAAAGGGCACCCCTCCTGGGAGACAGGTCACGAGAAGGCTCCTATCCCTGGGCTCTGGGGAATAGACAATTAGGACCCCTTCCTCCAGCTTCCTGCTGAACACAGGTTGAGTCCTGGCAAGCAGAGCATCCCTTCAGCCAGGTGTCTTGTGCTTAACCACCTGTATATTTATACAGGGCAGTCCTGCACACAGGTGCCCATGCGAGGCAGGGCATGAAAAGGCCACCATTTGTGACCCAGTCCTCAAGGAGCTCACACAGGTGAAGAGGAGGGACCCACCCCATATCTGTGAACCGGGCTGTGAGTGAGAATGCAGGCCAGCCATGCTCAGCATCTCTACCCAATCTGGTCTCAACAACATGGTCATGAGGTCCAGAGTTGTCCGGGATTCACTTTAACATGAGCTCTTAAGGCCCAAAGCCCCTCATGGGTCTAACTCACACATAAGTCTAAAGATGACACACTGGCAGATGTGGCAGCAACATTAAAAATGCCTCAGGCAGCAAGAAAAAGCAAATAGTCCCAACTTTTGGGAAGAGGATTTGAGCTGGGCCTTGAAATGTCTCTGTGGGGGACATAGAGCTGGGAAGACTCAAACAGAGGGAGTGAGCTGGGAGATGAGGCAAAGAGCAGTGGTGGCCAAAGACCCAAGGTGTGGGTGGTGTGGCCAGGGCCAAAGGTCTCTGCAGGGAGTCCTGAAAGCAGCCCAGAAATTGAGAGGTACAAGGGGAAAAGCAACTGACCAGTCGAGAACACATCTTACCGGGATGAACTGCTCCAGGCGGCCTTGGGGAAAGATGCCGTAGAGTTTTGGCCCAAGCGACCTCTCTGCAAGAATGGCAAACATAACGCTCTCCAGAACCATGGCCTCGGCCCCCTAAAACAGAGAGCAACACACCAAATGTTTACTGAGGACTGATTACATGCAGGCACAATAGCACTTTCACAGGAGCGGTGGTATCTAACCTCCCAGCAACCCTATGACTGGGCACTATTAGTACCACCCCCATAAAGAAACAGAGATCATATCTTGTAATCTGTAGGATCCGTGCTTGCAAGCATCACACTATACTGATGAGATTTAAAATTCAAGTTTAACCGAGTCACTGATTCCAAAAATAGAATATTATCTATTTGTATCTTATTGCTTGTACATATTTTAAAACTTCGATGAGTTCCACCCATAGCATTTTCCCAAAGGCCACCACAATGTTGTCCATTGTGGTAGGAGCTGGCCTGCTTTTGGGCCCAGAGCATGGAGTCCAGGGGCCTTCAGCCACTGAACCAATCCTTAAGGACAACTGACATATCTGGGCCTGTTTTTGGGTCCAGAGAGAACCAGCATGTCACAGGTTCTATGCTCTGCTCTTATCCCCAGTCTTCTCCCTGCTGCCATTTTAACGTTTGTCTCTTGCCAAAACCTGACATTGCTCATATGCAGTCTTCAGTCCTAGGAACTCATGTGGGATCAAGAATCATCCTGCCTTCAAAAACCATCTTTTGGTCTCAGTTCAAATTCACTCCTTAGTCCTTTTCCATTAAACAGCAAGTCAACCTCTAAGCTGCCACATTTGAGGAAGAAGGGCCAGCGGGGCTGGAAAGCGCTTTCAGATGATCCTTATTCATCTCTGGTTAAGAAACGCACCCAAGTGACTACAATTCTGCAGAAACACTGTGCAAAGTTAAGCAGCTCTTTATAGTCGGGTTATAAAAACAGACAATAGAACCTACTCTGGCAACGATAGCATGCTAAAGTTATGGAGACAACAGGACAATAGGACCTACTCAGGCAACGATAGGATGCTAAAGTTATGGAGAAGAAAACAGAGAAGCTACTTTTCCAAAGGACATGGAACCACAGTAAAAAGTAATTTGATCACTTTCACATTTGGATAGAGCAAACATTTACTGGTGAGCCCCCACAGTTACAGTTTAGCCACTGTCTTGTGTTACCCACAACTGCAGTCTGACCACTTTGTAACGCCTGATCTTTATTTACTCATCTGCAGTTTTGTATCTGTGACTGTTATGAACTAAATTGTTTCCTCCCTAAATTCACACATGGAAGCCCTAACTCACAGTGTGATGATGTCTGGAGATGGGCCTTTGGGAAGTGGTTAGGTATAGATGAGGTCGCAAGTGCAGGGCTCTCATGCAGTATCCTTATACGAAGAACTCCAGAGAGCCTGCTGTCCCTCCCACCATCCCTCCACCATGTGAGGACACAGGGAGAAGACAGCACCCGCAGGCCAGGAACCCAACTGTGCCAGCACCCTGATCCAGACCTCCAGTCTCCAGCTCAGTGAGATATGTCTGTTGCTGGCACCCCTGAGGAGTCTGTTACAGCAGCCCCAGGAGACTAAGACAAGGACAATACAAACAGCATTGATCTGTAAGGTCCACAGAGCTTAGAGCAGGGTTTGAGAGGAGACAGATTTACCCTCTGACCTCCCTGGAGGGACGGTCACTGCTGGCCTCACATCCAGCACCAGATATGCTCACCGGAGAGTGTGCGCACAGGTCTGCAAAGCCTCTCTCTCCACCTGGAACCTTCACAGAACGAGATGCCATGGCAAAGGCAGGCCAGGCACTGCAGGACCCTGGCACCAGGGTGTGGCACCAGGTGGCCTGGAGCTGTGTGCAGCCCTCTGCCATCTGTACCCTACCCCCGAATTCCACTAGGATTTCTTCTGTCTAGGCATCCAAGTTTTGTCAGAATTAAATTTGTTTTTCGGTTTTCTTCTGTGTGAAGTGACCAAGCCCAAGGGCATCAGGGTGGGCTCTGTATAAGACACATACATGTGCCAGATCCCAAAGAGTCTTTAAGTTGGGAGCTGCAAACTTTATACAGATTTAAGGCCCCACCTGTTACATCACAGACATAGCAATTCGTGCATCAAGCCCACTCAGTACAAAGGCCACTGGGAAGTGACCTCACAGGCTGTGCTGTCACTGGCACTTGGGCTGAACACACAGTGCCCAGAATCCTCCAGAGCCAAGTCAAACCGTTGCTGGGATAGTAGAGAGAGAGGATGGATGGAAACCTAGGAACTTTGTCACTCTCTCTGGCATTGTCTGAGTACTGCAGACAAGAAATCTCTTTGTTTACATGTAACACTACAGTTCAGTGTTTATTCCCAGGAGGGAGAAAGGGCAGCTGTGCATGGAGGAAAGAATTTGAGGAAGAAGTGAAGGAAAACAATTACAAGCAAGAAAAGTAGACAGGTTAAGGACAGCAGGGAATCTTAAAATGGGTGCATCAACTACTGGCAGCCTTTTGTCACCACTAGGTCTCCACACACCTTCCTGCACACTACTGGGAAGGCGAGCACGGTAGAGGTCAGGACCAACACAACCCAGTCCACTGGCCCTCCAGCCACAGCTGGCCCTACCTTCTCAGGACAGAAGGTCCTACCCCCACTTGAAACTATTTACTTCTGCTTCAGAAATACTCATACACATCCAGCCCCAGAATATTTACTGGATGTCCACAGTGGGCCTGGCACTGTGTAAGCCCCAGGCACTGTGTTCCCGCCTCAGGGAAACAAGAATAATAAGACATGGAAAAAAAAAAAAAAAGACATGAATGCTGCCTGCAAGGACCACGTTCCAGAGCGAGAAGCAGACAGTAATGTGCAAGCCCGGCACAGGTGGGGTAATTGCAGGGATGGGACAGCAGGGCAGGAGGTTGCTTCTAAGGAGATGGTGACATGGACACCTGAGGGGTGAGAAGCAAGCACATTCAGGGAACTGGGAGCCCCCACCTCCCAATGGAACAATCAGGGAAGAAGAGAACAAAATGAGCTTGGAGAAGTTGGAAGGTCCGGGCCAGCTATGAAGTCCTTAGTACCTCGATGGCATCTAGGGCTAAAAATGCATGGCTAACGAGGAGGAATCCACACAGAGCCTGAACTCTCCTGGGGGTTGGCCCCACAGGAAGAAGCACATTTTACACTGCGAGCTGTCAAACACTTACCCACCCCTAAAACTAACCTTACATGCTCACCACTCTGCAAGACTTTCTAGTACTTCCTTGTGTATTTCATTTTAATTTATTTAAAAAGTATATTTTATTTATTTATTTGACAGAGAGAGAACACAAGCGGGGGGGGGGGGCAGGGCAGAGGAAGAAGGAGAGAGAGAGAAGCAGGCTCCCCACTGAGCAGGAAGCCTGATGTGCTACTCGATACCAGGATTTTGGAAACATGACCTGAGCCTAAGGCAAATGCTTAACCTACTGAGCCACCCAGGTGCTCCTAGTCTATTTCATTTTAAAAAGTAAGAAAAATGCCAACATTTCATGTGCCATTTGGGGCTTACAACCCACCACATAAGCCCCTGATTCAGTTGGGGGCAAGAGAGACGGCAGTGGGGTTGAAGGTGAGTGGTGCTGTCCCGGATGCTCAGAGGAAACATGGAGAAAAGGCAAAGTGGCCCCTGGATTCAGCAATGTGGGGTCCTTGGTGACCAAAACAAGACTGGTGCTACTGGAGCAATGGGGCAGGGGACAGGCAGGCAAGGGAAAAGGGAGGCGGACAGCTGGGGGACCAAGGTATGCTTTATCTACACAATTGTATTTCTTTAAAAACATTAAAATCCAGTAATATCGAGATTATGAACTTTTGGAGAAGACTAAAGAAGCATTTCTGTGGTATTCTTGCCAAAAATGCATAACCTCATTCCAGTCACGAGAAAAGGTGAGACAAAGCTAACCTGAGGGAACATTTTGTGAAACAACTGATCAATGTGCCTAACAACCATTCGGACTGTGAGAGACAAAGAGGCAGATGGAAGAGACCAGGGAGGAACCACCAGCAAATGCAGTGTAGGGTCCTGGCTGTCTCCTGGAACAGGAGAAGAGAAAACATCAGTGGAAAAACCTGGGAAATTCAAAGAAGGCCTAGAGCTTAGCTGTCATTATTGTGACAGAGTTGGTGTCCTTAACTGTTAGGTGTGAACATCAGGGGAGCTGCAGGGAGGAGGGGGGCTCTCTGTATTAGTTCTGCAAACTTCCTGAAATTTGAAATAAAAAGTTAAAAATAATTAAAATAAATGTATATTAAAAAGATGGAAATCAAGCAATATGATAAAATCAATTACTAATTCTGTGCATTGGGGTAAGGGTGTTCATTATGTTATTCTGTGCCGGCCCACATGCTCGACACTTTTTTTCCAAGAAAAAAAAGAGATCGAGAAGTAAGAAAGCAGAGAGTGTGTAAATACTCTCAAGAAATCCTACTACAGACAGGGAATGGACGCAGGCGAGGCCACAAGGGACAGCCAGCAACGCACTGGTGGGAAGGAGGAGAGTCGGAGTTGGGAGCATGAGGGAAGAACCAGGCTATGGAAAGAGCAGGTATACAAGCACAGATGGCTCACGGGCTGGCAAGTGTGGAGATGAGCGCTGAGAACACAGCAACTGGGAGCAGAGAGGGACCTGGTCAGGAGGGCGAGCCCCCGGACAGTCCAGTAGTCCTCCCAACAGTGGGTTTCCCTCTAACAATGTCCAGCTGTTCAGGTATGGGCCCAGAGAGGGCAAAGCGGCGAGGTCCAAAGACCAAGCCAGACACAGCAATCTTCACCAAACCAGGGCAGTGCTCAGGAGGAGGGTTTTCTCTTTAAAAAAAAATAATAATAAATAAGATTTTATTTGAGAGAGTGAGAGAAAGAGAGAGCATGAGTAGGGGGTAAGAGAGAGGGAGAAGCAGATCCCTGCCAAGCAGGGAGCCCGACATGGGGCTTGGGATCATGACCCAAGCTGAAGGCAGCTGCCTAACTGACTGAGCCATTAAGGCATCCCTCAGGAGGATTTTCAACAGAGGAGGAATGGTTTGGAAGCAGGAATGAGGAAAAAGCCAGAAGACACCACTCCCCAAGACATCACCCCCTACTCTACCCAGTCCAACAGCCAAGATACCCAGATGTGATGGGAAAACATCCTCCCGAAGGGCAGAAGGGGAGGGGGTCTCTGGGCAGTGAGGCTATAGAGAAGTCAGCACAGGAAATGCTCAGAAAAGAGGGGACAACGACTGCAGACAAAGGCCATCCATCCAAAGGAGCTCAAAGAACATCTTGGACTGAGGAGAGGAAGGGATAAGGAGTGTGCACACCAGCAGGCAAGGGGCAGAATGTTCCAGAGCTGTGCACAGGTGCTGGCTGCAGCCAGCATTCGACAATTCTATCTGTGCTCCACTGGATAATGGGCACAATAGCTCTGATGAGGCAGCAAGAGGCAGAGAGGTCCTCCCTGAGTCTAGACTCCCAAGAATAGGGGGCAGACACGAATTGCATCATGCTGAAAAGCTACAGCCAGAGAAAGTGCAGAGGAGAGCAGACAGTGCTCACAGTGAGGGCACAAAACAGAGGCACACACCTAGTCTAGAGAGTAGGAGGGCCCGTGGGGAAGCAACCCTTGAGTGAGGTCTTAATTAGAAGCAAAAGTGGGGGTGACAAATGGGTGAAGTCGGGAGCATTTCAAATGGAAGGAGCAGCATCTGCAAAGGCAGGAAGAAAACCACAGAGTTTAGGACAACATGGCTGGGGGCAGGAAAGGAAAGGACACTGAAGATGAGAAAGGAAAGGTCAGTAGGGTCAGGCCATGGGGACCTGCTGAGACAAAGCCCAAGCCAAACTGGGGCACAGTGAGCTCTGAAGACATCATGCAAGAGGCTGACCTGATCAGAGCAGAGCCCCCAAAGGAGAAGAGGCACAGCCTGGACTGGGGAGGTGGGTGGTATATCAAAGGAGATGAACACATAGACAAATGGTAGATTCATAGGAAAACAGGAGACTCGCAGCCCAGACACAGGGTGAGGGTGAGAAGGGTATCAGAAGGGCCTCCCAGCTTTGTCTGCAGAGAAAGGAGAAACTGAGGCTCCTGGGAGAGGGGTGGGGCAGACACGGTGTGTTCAGCCTTGGACCTGGCGGGATGGCCCAGGGGAGGCGGGCAGCAGATGGTGCTGAGGGGCAGCGCAGAAAGAGGGCTTCTGGAAGTCTTGGGGCACCTAAGACAACAGGTCAGGCCCAGAAAGGAACCAAGGGGGAAGGAAACACTTCAGAGAGGACGGGGTGGTGCCGGATGCCACTGAAAAGCTGAGTTAACTAGAACTGAGAATGTACGGTGGGTGTGGCATCGCGGAGGCCCCCAGGACCCAGCCTCATCAACCACTAGGACACATGCAGGCCAATACACCAAGGACTTTGGATGGGGGAAACTCCATGTCCATCACTTCCTGCTGGGGGGTGTCTCAGTCAGTGTCACTCAGAACACACATTCTGGATCCATTAGACTGGGGCCTCCAGAGCAGGGCACACCCAGAACAATCCACCAAGACATCAGGGGGAAACATCAGTACTTTTATGCCTTTATGATCTCACCTCTTTTTAATTCCTATTTCTTGATGGTTTCAATAACTAGTCTACAGTGAATAAAACTAGTGCACTTATGTCTGTGTTGCGGGGGGGGGGTACTTCTATACAAACCTGCAGATATGGGGCCAGTGTGCTCAAAGGTGGCTTGTCCGATGGCATGTGGACATCACTACTCTAGAATCTCCACTTCTGAGCCTCGAAAAGGGCCCAAGTCAACGCATCAGCGCTCCCGACCTCAAGCTCTTCTGAACATAAGCATTTCAGAGGGGGTCATTTTAATCGACTGGGGTACCAAGCATAGGAAAAGGCAATCCTGCTCACCTGGGACAGTGCCTGCTTCAGTGTCCCAAGGGACTGGAAGAGGGGGTCAGAGGCACAGTTGCACGAGCCAGGTTGCCTCTACATCCTGTCATGCACAAGTGTCTCCCCAAACCCCCCTCTCTCGCCCCAAATGCTGTTTAGGTTGCCATAAGGAAAAACCACAAGGGTCTGCTGCCTACACTCAGTTGGAACAGAAAATACCCAGGGCACACTCATTCTTCCTAGGGTGGCTCCCTACACGGCAGGAGCCCCATCCTCTGGGAGACAAATCAGCCCCTCTGGGGGCAGCCAAAAGGCACTGCTAACACCGCTTACACCTCAGACAGATGCAGAACGGACTGAATTACTTACTTGAAATTCATTTTCTTTCTGAGCTTGTTCGGATCCCTCTTTATTACAGGACCTCTACGAATGAGAAAAAGCAAACACTTCTGGTAAGATGGGGAACAGACACTAACTTTGCAACCACCAGAACAGTCAGGGTTTACAAAACATCACAGATCTTTAATGAGCATTTCTCAACCCACGGAAGCCACCAACAGCGGCAGGCTAAAATGCACCACGAGTGTCCAGCACTAGTATCAACACCCAATCACTTCATTTCTTTACAAGAAAAGGAACGTCCTATTGACCCCAAACAGCCATGTAGTACCTTTTCACAATTTCATTGTCCGAGGAAAGTCAATAGGGGGCGCTCTCCCAATCAGACCTTCCGGAAACAAATGGTCAAGTGGTCTCCCCAATTTAGCTAGGTGGTGCCTTCAAGTCCACACTATCCTGAGGAAGCTTCTTTCCTACAAGAACTAGGAGTGTACACACACCCGGGGCAAGTTGTCGTGGTCAGCACAGAACGGGGACAGAAAAAAAAGCCCTGTGCAGGCAGGAGACTTGGCACAGAATCCATGCGACAAGCCTGCCAACTTGCCACTTTCACATAGCCCTGCTCACTCAGCCTGTCACTGGCTCAATCTGGATTCTACCACCAAAAAGAGGGTCGTGAGAATTTAATCAAGTCCCTAAACTTACTTCACATTTTAATATATTAAGGGATATTTTTATATCACTTTCCTCAATGAAATTGCAAATTATTGGAAACCAGGGATCTAGCAGTAACAACTATATCATTAACTGCCTTGTGCAACTCTCTGGCTACATTCTTTCTTCATGGCACAGATCATATCTTTTAAAAGCAACCCCCCACCCCAAGTGCTTTAGAAATTTTCCTACTATCTTTAATAAGGGGATGGAGAAAAGCAAGTCAGAAACTTAAACATCATGCCAAAATTTTACACTCCAATATTGCCTCTAGAAATGTTATTTGCTATAATTAAACTAAGTCGGCTTAAGCCAGACCCAGAAGGAAACCCATAAAGGGAGCTTCTTCAAAATGTTAAGGTAAATTATTCTTGAACATCCCATGAAAAACATACCTTTCCATTCCACAGCTTTATCAAAAATACCTGTACCAAGGGTGGAAAGTATGGACAGGAAAAAAAATGCCACGTTAAGCAACACCAGCTACTCTAGTGCCATTCAAAGACCCCAGTGCTTTGGAGCAGCGCTCCCATTCATCCTGCACGGACACATTCCACGGACGTTTTCATGCGTGCTCTGCACAAACAGTGCATGTGCTAGCTTCCTTAACATAAAGGTAAATATCCATGTTCATGAAGCAGACTGCTCTTCTACAAATTCAATAACATCTTTAACATCCCATGAAGTTCATTTTGTACAAGGTATGGAAAGTACAACTGGGGCAATATATACTTTTATTTGTGTAATCTTGTAATCTGCGTTTCTTTGATGAAAAGATGTTACAGGTTAAATCCCGTTACAATGAAAGCTACCAAAATGAAAACACTCCAGAAACACTTGGTTTGCTGATGGCTCGGTGTGCGATGTGGCAAACTCTAGGGCAGAGTACTTGGGTACCACCAAAGCTTTGCTCCTTAACTCCAAACCACTCCCATGGCTGCACCACTGCGACCTCAGAGTCAGACTTGAGCTGTCCCCTTTCTGCCCAATGGCCTACCAGCTCCTCACAAATAGGGACTCCATCTTTCACTAATTGTTAGTCTTCCTCCAAAGCACCAAGGAATCCTGCTGCTCACTACACTTTTCGCCTGCATGAATAAAGGAGCTGGCTGTGCTGTGAAGCTCAAGGCACAACCTCCGTGACAGAGCCAGCCGGCTTCAGGCAAACTCACACCCATGGTCCAAGCAGTGGGGAAACTGGCTATGGTACTTATACGGATGCTGAATGAGGCCCAAATGTCCCAAAATGTTAAATCCTGTGCTTGTTCTCCCTAAGGAAAGTTAAGAACAAAAAAAGTTCTACAATACGATATATTGTATACTGATACTTTGTCAGAAAAGACAAATATGGAATTTGGGTATCTTACTGAAATTTGTTGTAACGGGATTTGACCTGAACAAAATTCTAAAGGACTATGGTTATTCCTATGCTGTTATTATTCGAACTGTATCTTCTTAGGGAGATACAGTTAATGGGTTATTTAGCCAACAGAAGTCCCTTTCCCTTGTCCAATGGTGCTCTCAAAACCAAGTCATTTCATCCAAAGTTACAAATTGCTTTAGTTCCCAAGGCCATTCCTTTTTAATTCTTGCACCGGTGGAAATAAATTTTGTTACGGATTTCCCCACCCCTGCCCACTCCATTCCACCCCCAAATGAATGTATTACTTATACCATAAGAGCACCATCATGAAGGCAAGATGGACTTCTGCCACATTCAACCCTCTGTTCTGTTTCCTCAGTACAGAATGTTCAGGTTCCCTCAATCCTGTAAACAAAAAGAGTAGGACCAGGAAATCTCAAACCAATTTAGATATTCACGAAAAGTAAGAGAAGCGACCTCCTCCTGATAAGCCAAGGGGAGATAGACTCACTGCCAAAAAAGAAGTCAGAGAACTTTTTTGTGCAGGAAGATGGAAAGTAAAATGTATCTTGGAATCTGTGGGATTTTACTTCAGAGGCATAAATTTATTTGAAGCAGATATTAAAATATATTGTATAAATATTCAACATGACTCCATATTTTTTGCCAACTTTTAATAAAAACTAGCTGTCATATATAAAATAAAACTAAAGTTTTCACATTAGGAATTTGAACACTGGTTAGTATCAAATAATTACTAAAATCTTTTGATGTAAACATTATTATGGTCATTTAAAAAAATCATCTTAGGGATGCCTGGGTGGCTCAGCAGTTGAGCATCTGCCTTCGGCTCATGGCATGATCCCAAGATTCTGGATCAAGTCCCACATCGGGCTCCCTGCATGGAGCCTGTTTCTCCCTCACCTGTGTCTCTGTCTCTCTTTCTGTCTCTCTCATGAATAAATGAAATCTTAAAAAAAAATCATCTTATATAGATATAGATGGAAACATTCATGGAAGTGCTAATGTGATGTCTGGAATATGGTTCAGAATAACCCCAGAGAATGACCAAGGGCGAGGGTGAATGACTGGTCAAAGGGAAAGACAGATATTGGGGCACTTGGGGCTCATTACACTCTTCTGCTCCACTTTTGTATGTATCTGAGATTCCCTGTAATAAAAAGTCTTTTTAAAATAAACACAGAGTGTGCCTGTGTGACTCCTTTGGTTAAGCGCCTGCCTTCAGCTCAGGTCATGATCCTGGAGGGAGTCAAGTCCCACATCAGGCTCCTTGCTCAGCGGGGAGTCAGCTTCTCCTTCTGCCTTTCTCTCCAGCTTGTGCTTGTTTTCTCTCTCTCTCTCTCAAAAATAAATTAATTAAATCTTAAAAATAAATAAGTAAATAAATACAGAAATTTCAAGACCTAAGAAGTCAGAATGCATTAAATATGCTTAAGACTCTAACATCCCTGAATTGGGCTCTCTAAATGAATTGTAGGACATAAAGACATTACAAAAACAAAAAACAAACAAAAGACATCCAACGATTATTAAAGATACACTGCCACTAGGTTCCTCCCACCTTCCTTGTTTCTTCCTATCTTGGGCTTAGTGTTCAAGAGAATCTGAAAATATTCCTTAGAATCCACAAATTCATTAGACGGTGATATAGGAAATAAAAGTGGCTTAGCAGTAGTAACAGGCATATGGTTTATATTTCATTTTAGAGTTATACAAGATTTTGAAAGCTGAAACAGATTTTTGACGGGCTAAGAACTTTTAAATTTAAAACCCAAATTTGTAAAAACTTGATTTCTATTGGCTAGAAATAAGGGATGAGAATAGAGGACTTCCACTTTTTTTTGCTTTACATGCTTGCATTGCTATAAAAGTGTTTAAAATTATTTTACTTTTATAATAAATATATTTGATACAAGGTTTCAAATATTACTTCTGACAAAATTGCATGTAAAGTCTTGTACTTTAAAGACTGAAGAAAAAGCAACCTTCATATTCTAGTTTATTAGTTATTAAAATGTTTTATTTCATGCTTTGAAAAAAAACTGAAAATCAATAAATAGTAAGACAGTTAACAGGGGCTAAGATGAGGAAATATCCCTTGACTGAATTTTGTCTTATACATATAATTTTAGGATTCAAAAATGTTCTATTTAAAGTTACCCAATATTCCACAATATAACAGGTTTATTTCTTTAAATCTAAGCTATTGGGCAGAATAAACTCTTATCTGCTCAGTTCTTAGTAACAGATTCCTACAATGAGGAGGGAGCTAGTTTTACAACTGAACCACTTTAATAAAGACACATTTATGTGATGAAATAAAGTATACCTCATTTTTCCTGAAGTCTGTGTATGCGTGGCTGTGCATGTAAATAAAAGTGGCATAAAGAAAGTGGCATCCAGCTATTTAAATGTCATTTGTAATACTGAAAAATATGTCTTCAAAGTGTCTTTAGAAGCCCACCACTGCATGAGCTAGCTGCTGGTGGGACTGGTGGGACAGGTGGGGTGTTTAATCAGCTACAAAGAATAACATGTCATCAACAGTAATAATACATTAGAAACGCTGCTAAAGAAATCAAATCACCATCAATTACAGATACTGTTAATAGGAGGGAATTAGTCACCATGTTAAATGTAATGGTGACCACAGAAATAAAAAGATTCAAAAAAGAGTATGTGTTAGAAACATGGAAGACATCTCTTCCCACTAGCCTTTCCTTCTCCAGCAAAAACAGAAGCACAAAAAGCTACACAGAGTACTCAGCTGGCTCTATCTATCTATCTATCTATCTATCTATCTATCTATCTATCTAAGTAGACTCCATGCGCATCGTGGGGCTTGAACTCAAGACTCTGAGATCAAGGGTTGTGAACTCTACTGACTGGGCCAGCCAGGAGCCCCCTCACCTGGCTCTTTTAAAGGTTCTGTACAAAGGAGGAAGTTAAGAAACAACAATCCAAATGTTAGCTAGATTCAACTTCT